AACACAAGAAACCAAATAGCCAATAAACATTAATAAGTAAATAATAAATAAATAAATGACAGCTAAAAATAAATAAAACTAAAAAATTAAAAAAATAACGTTAAAATATTTTTATTAGGAAATAAATTACAATTAAAAATTTAAACTAAAAATATTTTTATTTTTTAAGTTTTATTTATTTTTAGTCGTCATTTATTTATTATTTATTTTTTTAATGTTTATTGGCTATTTAGCTTCTGGTGTTTAAGAATTTAAAATGTTCTCATTAACGGCAAAGGAGGAGAAGATGACGATATGGCCAGAAATATATCAGCGAGTTGTAAATCAGCGCTGCTAGTCTGTTTCCTTCTTGTGTGTCTGTGAGTGTGACTGTATCCGTGCTGTTCCATCCAAGCATGAATTACCAACTAGCCCAAGCATCCCCATTATCAAGCCATCATCAACCTCGACGCTATTTCTGTTTCTGTCCTGGCTTAGCTTAGCTTGCTTGAGTCTCTCGGATGGGTGGATAATTGCCATAACGGTACACCTTGTAGTAGGCGATAGCTTGCGCCACCTAGAATGAATGTTGCCAATGGAACTGAATTCCGAAATACTGCGCAAGTACAAAACTAATAATAATCGTGGTGCGTCTTGGTTTTATTAAAGAATTGTTTGATGAAAACTATAGTCAAAAGATGTCCTAAACTTACGCAACTACATGTAATAATTTGTATGTAAAATTTAGTTGAGCAGTAAACGTGAACTGTGTATACTACCGCCATTTCATTCATTTTTTTTAAACGTAATGAAATTGAGGACGTAATCGGTGTCATTTTTGTGTGTTTACTGGCAACTTTAGTGACTCCTTGCAGAAGGGGCGTGACAACGAGGCTGGGTAGAAGCGAGCGTGGCGCAGTCACGAATCACGCTGCGAGAGTTTCGGTTTTGAGGCATCATCAGAGCAAGCCTGCATGTGTGTGTACATTACTAAAATGAAGGCAATAACACTGCGTTCTTACTTTCTCTGGGAGTCACCGTTTCGGGCGCGAAAACAAATGCAACGGTTGCTGAGCCTTCACCAGAAGAGAGAATATTAATATTTTGAATATGCATGTTCTCCGATTTGAGTCACTTGACGTCAGCTTTGCATGAAAGTGTGCGTCCCATATTCGCAACGTCTCGTTTTTAACGTTTAAAATGCCTGTTTCTGGTGTTAGGACACACACGAACGTTTCGGAAGGTAGGGAGAGTGGATGTCGGATGCGCAACGTCGGGCATTATAGTTCTGTGCTTAGTTTTATGCAGATACATGTAAATCGCGAAATAACACTAATTGAAAAAGCAATATTATTTTGTTTTCGCACAAACAATACTTGTGAGCCGAAAACAGAATTGTTATAATTGCGAGGAGTGCTTTAAAGTAATTGTCCGCCAATGTTTTAATGTTTCAGAATGCACCGCATCATTTGTCACTTGCGCAGTGGACTGCGTAAATTACTGGTTCCAAATCCGGATGCCTGAACTGCTGTGTCGCCATCATTTTCGTTGCCCACTTTGTGGAGAGAAATTTAAGGGGATGTTGCGGATGCACTAGAACTTTTTTTTATACGAACAAGAGGGGGGCTGGTCGTTTGTTTCTGAGCCGTGCCTCTTAACTTTGCTGCAAGTTTTCCACACACAGTTCACACGTTGCGAGCGACGTCGAATCGTCGGGCCATTTAATCCTCTAATCTCCGGTGCCTTTCTGAAGCCTCGAACAGGGTAAAATAAATTTCGAGCTTTTACACAAACGGTTTTACAGTGACCTTTTACACTGCCTCGGAGAAAGAGAGCATTCTGAATTCTTACTTTCTTGCTCTTCTGTCAGTTGCATTGCTATTACGGTCTGACATTACCAAACCAACTGTTGACCAACTGTTCTCGTAATCATGATGGGAGCATCTTTCTAAAAAAAAGTCAGTGTCATGGTGAGAAACACACTTAAAGATTTTTTTAAGTGCAGCACGGTTGCCAGCAACGCCTCTGACGGGTTTGATGAACTTTCAGTTTAAGCGGGGCAGAGCTATTAGTAATGCCGGATTACCATGTGCATAGCAAACATGGATTACTGGTTGGGATGCTCGATAGCGACCTATTGAGAACTGACTTTGGATCGTTGTCTGGAAGAGGATCTTGGATGGAACCAGGGATGAAATCTACTTTCATCATGGCAACCCGTTGCAAGTTTCGCTCTGCCATTCAGTGCTTCGAGTGCTGGCAGTTGCTCAAGCAGCAACTTTCCGTCCTTTGAGAAAGGTGTGTTCACATCACCAATGTGCATTATGGACCTCCACGTGCGTGTGCGGCACACGAGCCGTGCTTTTGTACTAGGAAAACTAATAAGAAAATTCCAAAAAATACGTTGCAGTTTTTCTTATTACTTACCTAACCAGGCGGAGTTCCGCCGAAATGTTTACATTTAAGATACTAGGAAAACTGCCAGTTTGTCGCACGACCAGGTGCTTTCGTGGTCGCCCACGGCCATACTAGTCACTTTTTTTCTTTTCTTCAGTGTTCGGAGCATTCACCGCCGCTGAATCATATGCAAAATGCCAATCTGTGTCGTGTCCTGCGCATCGGAGGTGCTGATACTTGCACCGGCTCTTGTTCATGCCATGTTGTGTTTTAACATGTTTGTTCTTGCTCTGTTTAGTTTTTTATTTACGAATGCAAGTGGGGTTTTTGCATGATTTTGGTACAGACGCAGAGTTGGAACGTTTCTAGCGTTCAAAGGGGGCCAAGCTGAGCAGAGAGGTGGGTAAGGTTCCTGCCATCTGCAGACGATCAAACGGTTTTGCACATTCGCGTACTTAAGTTGTTTTGTCGTTTTTTTTTTTTTCTTGCCAAAGGTTTTGCTGGCCGGTTGTTTCTTTTGTGCTTTTTTTTTAGTGATATTTTTTTTTTGGTTGTGGGGAGAACTTTTGTTTCTGGGCTTGGTCACATCTATATTGTGACTCGTTTAATATTCTTCGAAATAGCCCCTGATTTTTTCGAGTCACCTTTGATCTTGCCGAGTCACTCTTGGTTCTGCTCAGGGAGATGAATTTCATGTGTCCCCAATACGCCATGCTTCTAACCTCTGCTAATTTAAAACATTCTTCCTTGTCTGTAATTGTTTGTGATGCGTATTGACTATACTTCGTTTCAGCTTCGGTCCGAGCGCGGCCGATGTTGTGAGCCGAAGGGCCATTCAAAGAGCGGAAAAAGCGCAGCGTCACGGCGTGCTCTCTGCGCTGGACAGGACTAGCCGGCAGAGGAGCGCGCACAGAGAGACGGCGAATACCGGCTGGTCCTATCAACTGCAGAGAGCACGCCATGACGTTGTGCCTTTTTCGCTGTTTGATTGGCCATTCGGCTCATAACATAGGCCGCGCTCGGAACGAAGCTGAAACGAAGTATAGGCATTGCGAGACTGGCTTTTTTTTTTACATGCGGTGTATATTTATGGGAATGTGGGAGCTTGTATAAGTGTGGGTCGGATATTTTTTTCTTCCGTACGGTGTACACACTTGTAAATAGTATACATATCTTATGTACATATTTGCATTGTTGACATGAGTCAGCAGTGGCTGTAAATCTTTGTGAAATGGTTCAAATTTCGGGGGGGGGGGGGGGATGGTGCTTTTTGTGTTTTTGTTCTTCTGACGAGAAGGAAACTGTGCTTGGCCATGAGATGCCATTGTGATAAATCACTTTTTTTTGCGTGTCGTACCAATGGAGATACAAGTAGGTATGTTTCTTCAACTCTGTGTCCACGCTGTTGGTGCTTATCGACTTGTCGGTCTAAATTTTCAAGGACCAGTAGTTTTTTTAATGCAGAATAAACTACAGAAGTGCATTATTGAAAAATGTGTAATGTCTATGTTACATACTTCTAACTGAGCACAAAAATATTATGGCAAAAATATGCCAAGGCCCAGTGTCGTCGCAAGAAAAATAAATACACCAACTTTACATAAAAAAAAAAAACATGGATTAAACTTTTTTGTTTTGCACTGTTCCTGGTTGTTTTTTTTTCCCTGATATTTGAAGTAGATGTACCATATCTTCCATACTATAAGTTGCAAGCGAAATTCTGGCTGAAAGAAAACTTTCCCGTACTAGGTGTACTTCATCCATGTCTTACACCTATTAAAAATGGTAAGTCAATAGTTCCCAAACAAATATGACTCTGTGCTGACTAACATAACTATATGCATGTAAGTTTATATATTGCATAAAAATATACTTTTTTATATTTTGTAATGTTTTAGAAGAAGGCTGTGGCTAGGGTTCTGTCTAGACGTAACAATAGTCGCCACTAGAGTTCCATCCAGACGGAAGGTTAGTAAACCTTGTAGAGTTCCGTCCAGATAGAACGACAGTCACCACTAGAGTTACATCGAAACGGAATTATAACCGCTGCTAAAGTTCCGTCCAGACGGAAGAGAAACGGGCCACTGAAGCTCCGTCCAGCATGCACAAGGATTTATCTCTATGCTCCTACCCTGACCCATTAATGGAGTAACAATTGGCAATGTTCCTATGTTATTTTTAATGTAGTCTTCAAGTAAAATGCACTTGTCCGAGCAATCCTATAACATTTCTACTGCTTCCTGGAAATAACATTTGTTCAACCTCTGCAAACCGCACATCTCTGGCTTATATTACGTCGTATACCGATTCAAAATCGCCTCCCATGCAAGCTTGTTTCTTTTTTTCTAAAAAGTAGTTACTGGTAGCCAGATACAGTGAATGTGGCAGATGCCATTTTCACAGCATTATTTAGGAATGGCAATCATTGTATAGCAAGACCTGAGGCTGGGTGCATTGTCGTAATGAAGAAGAACAGCCTGTCTCAACTTTCCACAATATTTTTCCGTGATTGCAGCACATAATTTTGTAATTAGGATCTTTTAGTAAAACCCGCGAGTAACCGCTAGAAAAAACAGCCTTGGCATCCCAACAAATTGATTGAAAGCTTGTTTTCGTTATTCTAGCTTGGACGTAAAGGAACAATATCCTCTACTGAGCCCTATGGACGGAACCAACGGGGCTTTACAGGGCTTGCTGTCCTTTCATCTGGATGGAACTCTACAGGGCCAGCTACCTTTCCTTCTGGACGGAACTCTACTGTGCCTGCTATCGTTCCGTCTGGACAGAACTGTACTGCGTCTGCTGCTGTTCTGTCTGGACGGAACTTTAAACACTCCTTTAAAGTAAACTAAACATAGCAATTTATTTATTTCAAAATACTGCGACCTCGATGAGGTCATCGCAGGAGTGGAGAGAAAACATACATATACATTCAAAAAGGCCATCGATTAAAGATGTACACACCCTACGAAACAAAACTTGGAAAACCGTGAAAAATGCAATATAAAAAAGAGTACAAAAACAAACACATACACTTCAATTACAGATTCCTGGCACCCATACCCCCCCCCCCCCCCCCAGATAATAAGAGTACACAAACAAACGCATACACTTCAATTACAAATTCCAGACCCCATACCCCCCAAAAAATAATAAGAGTACAAAAACAAACGCATACACTTCAATTACAGATTCCAGGCACCATACCCTCCAAAAATAATAAGGCACCGTACCCCCCCCCCCCCCCAAAAAAAAAAAAAAAAAAGAAAAAGAAAAGAAAAAAAAACGCCCTTTTTCATTTTGGGGGTACTGCGACTCTGGGTCCCGAGACTCCATAGCTGCTTACTATTTACCTGTAGGGGTGAGTTCGCAGTCGCAAGCTGTGGGTATTTGTCCCATAAAAGTAAAGCTCGTTCCTGTGCTGAAAACAGTAAAGCTCGAACAAGTGCTGAAAACGTGAATAGCTAGCATGCACCAGAGGTAGTCTGCGCAGCATAACAAAAAATGAGTGGGCAACCCTTTTAGAAGCTAAGGTTTGAATATTTGAGTGTCGAAAAGCTATTGCAAACAAGTGCTTCAATGTTGGGTATGCAGGAAATAACCTCAAGTGAGATACGCACTAAAGAAAAATAAATTGAAAAGCTTTTGTCAGAAACTGATTTTACTCCTGGTAGTCTCCCCTGGTCCCACCGGTTTTAGAGGTCAACCGTATGTCGGTTATTCTGATCTCGCGGCTGACCGCTTTGCACATGTCGTAGACAGTCAACGCCGCGACCGCGACCGCAGTCAGTGCTTCCATCTCGACACCTGTCTGGCCCGTGCATTTGGCGTACCCGTTCACGCCGACTTCGTGAGTTTCTTCCACCAAAGTCAGGGTAACGTCCACCTTGCTCAGCGCTACCGGATGACACAGCGGAATCAGCTGGGACGTCTGCTTGGCGGCGCAGATGCCGGCGAGCTGAGCGGTGGGCAGCACGTCGCCTTTCTTCATTTGGTTGGACTTGACCAAGTCGAAGACCTTTTTGCCCAGGAGGACCCTGCCCAAAGCAGTCGCCGTTCGGACGGTGCCTGGCTTGTTCGAAACGTCCACCATTTTGGCGCCGCCATATTCATCAACGTGCGTGAGGCGAGCATCGCTGGCGCGTCGTCTGCACGATTCGGCTAGCAGACGGATCCCGAGGAGTCTTGTTGAATGCATATCGAACGGATCGTACGCACCCCAAGTTTTGGTTTCCTTGTGGCCACAGTCGTGGTCGTTCGTAATTGTCGCCGTATCTTCTTTGTACCGCGGCTGGCTCCAGCTAACAAACCAGCTTCAAAACACCAGCTGTGGCACTGTGCAGCACGGTGCTGTACACTACAGCCCTACAGCTGCTCCACAGCTGCTAAGCCGACGGATGGGAAAATTGCGAAAATACTTCAAAAGCAAGACAAAACGTACTTGTCAAAGCACAACGAACAGGCGGATAAGCTAGCTGTTTGTATATCGTCGACCCTAAAAATAAACTTTCGTTCTTTTTTTTTTTTCGTTTTACGATTACGAAGGGCACAAAGACATAACTCTATGCACAGAGATTAAGACACTTCTGACGTCAGCGTACCACGTGACTTTGCCTACTCCTCATACTCCGCCCGGTTACAAGAGTAGTGTAAACAAACGAAACGGGTCACCCGCAAAACAAAAAGGAACTACAAAATTCATAAAGGAGAAGCAGTGGAGGAGAGGAGGAGAGCTTTACTGCGGTAAACAAATATGGCGGCGGACTCCGATACTCGACGGCTGTACAGCGAACGAGTGAGCGATGCTATGTGAACTAGCGCCTTTCCGGTGCCATATTTGTAGCCTAGACTGTCACCTGTTGCCCGATGTGAAAGTGCGCTCACTTCCTTTCATCCACGTGGCGATATTCGTCCGAGAAGATCGCTGTAAGCTGAGCTCGCTACGGGTGCTACGCCCAGTGACTTGGCCGCGGTTTATTTTTGAGTACCCTTTACATTTTTCTTCGTTTCTATTTTGCCCTTTGGTCCCGTTTACATATTTGTTTTAAGCAGCAGCGGAAAGACGATATTTAATGCAATCCTTTTTGTGTCACACTTTGACGGAACGGGTAGATGACCAATATGTACCTCACGGAAATTAGAAAGAAATAAGAGAAGCAATTGATTTCGCCCTTTAGATATATAAAAAGTGCCCAGCTTTCCGATAAAAAAAAAAAAGAAAAATGAAAAAATGAACACGCTTTATCAGCAGACTAAACGTTATGAATGACGTGGTACCTGGAAGCGTGAGTACCCACAATCTTTGTATCCCGTCAGTTCCAATCCATCACAAATTACGTTCTGTGTTTTCACCCAAGTCGGCCTTTCCCGCACAGGAGTTCGCCATGTCCCTACCACCCTACCGAGACACGGCGCATCCCATCCTACCCTTTCGAAGTCCCGTCGAAAATGATCTGCCGCCATCCTACGACGACATCACCAACCCAGACGGTATTTTCCCATTGTCGGCCTCTAATCAGTGTGCCGTGATTGACAGCATGTTTTCTTGACGAGCCTCCAAGGTCTTTATTTTACAGACATCAGAAAAGTAATCTCACACTTACAAACTAGCTCGTGGAAAAGCGGCAGCACAAGCTTTTTTTTTTTTTTTCGCGGGAAACGACTGATTCACACACCTGCATTTGACTATGATATGGTGTGCTATGATCGCTTGTCAAGGCTTACGACTAGACTTGATATTGCATACACTGCAAAACCTTCAGTTCAGTTATATGCAAATCGAAAGGGTTTCAGTGCTACTTGATAGATGTCGCGAACCTCTTCTCTCGTCTTGTCATCGCACTGGTTGTAGCGCTGTCAATCAGTCAAACGACTTGTTCCGCTAGATTTAGCGGGGAAATTTTTCTGCTAAATTTAGCTGGAAAATGTTTGCGCTACATTTAGCGGGGAAATCTTTGCACTAGATTTAGCGGGGAACTTTTTCCGCTAAATTTAGCGGGGAAATTTTTCCGCTAGATTTAGTGGGGAAATCTTTGTGATAAATTTAGCGGAGAAATTTTTCTGCTAAATTTAGCGGTGAAATTTTTTCCGCTAGATTTAGCGGGGAAATTTTTCCGCTAGATTTAGCGGGGAAATTTTTCTGCTAAGATTAGCTGGAAACTGTTTCCGCTACATTTAGCGGGGAAATTTTTCCGCTAGATTTAGCGAGGAAATTTTTTCGCTAGATTTAGCGGGAAAAAAATTTCCGCTAAATTTAGCGGGGAAATTTTTCCGCTAGATTTAGCGAGGAATTTTTCCGCTAGATTTATCGGGGAAATTTTTTCGCTAGATTTAGTGGGGAAAATTTCGCGTCGGAACTGCAACACGCCTTGTTTATGGCGTACGGATCGTCGAAGGCAACGCCGTCCATTCACAGTTTGTCTCGATACCGCTGCCGTTCAGGCTTGGGTAGCGAGCTCAAATAGTCGAGCATATAACATGCGTTGGCAGGAAATACGATGCACAAATAAAGCTAGAAGCCTCTCTACAAAGTCAACAACGAGCGCACGCCATAGAACGCAATGGCGAAAACATGATCCTGGCCGCTTTTGCCCACATAGCTGCTGCGCATCCGCGGCCTTCCGGCCGTGTTGGTAAACAGAGCCGCGCCGCGTGTCGAAAGCCCTTGCTTTCGGTGCCGAACAATAGAGAACGAGGTTGCGGTAACAGAGGGAGGAGGAGCGGAAGGCGAGAAGGGAAGCATTTTGAATGCAGCGCCACACAGGTTTCGTAAGGCTTCTCCGCTCTCCTGTTTTCATTTTGCATTTTGCAGGAGAAAAAAAAAAAAAAGTACCGACTTGTTAATGATTTTGACATTCCCATTCCAGATAATGGATGAATGTGCATCCCTTTTGAATGATGCTTTAGAGCGCAGCTCTTAGGTGCCCGTTTCCGGCTTGAGCGGCGTCGACGTCGCCGTCGCCGTCGGCGTCACCGTCGGCGTAACCGCGCGGTGCATTATGGGAAATATGATATCCCATACTGCACCGCGCGGGGAGGAGGAGGAGGGAGGGGAGGAAGGTGAAAGGAGGAGGAGGAGGAAGGAGGAGAGGGAGGAGGGAGGAGGAGGGGAAAGAGGAGAAGGGGGAGGAGGAGGGATAAGAAGGAGGAGAGGGAGGAGGAGGAGCTTGAAGGATGAGGAGAGGAGGAGGAGGAAGAAAAGGGAGAAGTAGCAGGTAGGACGAGGAGGTGAGGAGGAGGGGTATACCCTCCCTTCAGTACCCTTCCCTCCTCCTTTAAGAGCTGCGCTCTAATTCGTTGTTACAGGGTGTAAACGGCTTTCATTTTTTTCAAGTATGTTTACTGATCCTACCCTTGTCAATAATTACTCTGCCGTCTCACACGATTAGTTCCCAATAGACCATATGATAATCGATATCCCCGGAATTGTAGGAATTATTGACTCTTTAAAAATATCCTCGTCCTGTGGCATGAATAATATAAATTCTAAAGTGTTCGCAGCGTAAAACTGGCATCTGCCCTTTTTTCCGCAAGAATATTCCAACAATCGCTGGAGACGGGAGAGGCACCTGACGATTTGAAAATCGGAAGTGTCGCCCCGGTCAACAAAGGCGGTAACGAAACATCCCCTCTCAACGAAAGGCCAATTTTCCTGACTTGTATGTCTTCTAAAATTTTTGAGCATATCATCTCCAAACATCTTCCCCATACCTTTCTTGATACTAATAACTTCTTCTGTAGCTTACAGCATGGCTTTCGCAAGTTTCTGTCCTGTGAGACCCAACTTACCAGCCTTACTAACGATCTCTTTCAGAATATGGGCTCCGGCTACCCAACTCACGCCGTGTTTCTCGATTTCGCCAAAGCCTTTGATAAGATCCCACATAACCTTCTAGTCCACAAATTATCCATGTTACACATTGCGGGATATTGCTACCAACACAGGTACCGATAGAGTAACCAAAGGGTTGTCTCAACAGCGGCGATATCTGAAAGGTGACGTCCAACCTAGTAGTGCGGTCCCCAGATCTCCGCGGCAATGTAGACGACGTTTAGAGCTACATTACCGCGGGTCGGTTCGATTAATTACCTCCGTCGGTGCCAATGATCGTCTACCTTGTCTCACTGTCTCGAATATAGCGGGAGAGAAGACACACGTCCCAGAGTAAGGACAGAGTCCAAGAGCATTTATAAGAACACTCTTAAAATGAACTACAATGTCCCCATCCAAAATGGCCTCTGCGCCGGCAAGGTAAGAAAAAGTCCTTACCTGGCCAGACGCGGGCTTCCGGAGAGCCAAGCCCGGGGAGGCATCGGAGATGTCGCCGACACACGTCCTATCTCTTTCGCGGTCACCCGGACGAGTCCCTTTCCCGAAAGCGGGAAAACAAGAGGCGAAACCTCTTCGCCTGTCAGCAGCGATCCCCTTCCGAGCGGGGGGACGAAAAAAGATCCTCCCGGGAGAGAGTGAGGAGGAGAGCCCCCCAAGCCAGGCGGCTCTCCTACGCTTCACGGACAGGTCGGAGCTCACGGCGAAGGAGGCCGAGTGTTCCGACCCGCGGCCGTTATCGCAGCCATCGTGGAAGGGAGACCGCAGGAATCCCCACAACATTGATCCTCAAGTAGTAGCATGGATTATTTCTTTTCGCTCGCATCGTTCACAGTCTGTTTGCGTTAATAACACAACTTCCGCTTCCATTTCTGTCACATCTGGTGTCCCCCAGAGAACCGTTCTTGGGCCTCTGGTTTTCCTTATATACGTAAATGATCTGCCCCCACTTCGTATTTCTTCCTCCATTCGTCTCCTCGCTGATGATTGCGTCGTCTATTAGCCCCAAGAGCGAACACAAGCGTCGCTGCGTTCTCCGCGCCTTGGTTGGGTGATGTGTACCGTGACGACAGGGGAAGGACTCCGCTTCGCGATCTGGCATCCGGCTTAAAGTCCCTAGATTAGGGCTTCCCACAAGTAGCGACATTCTTTGAAGCGCCGACTGCGTGACGGTTCAGGTTTTAGGAAGCGAATGGCAGCGCACCCCAGGGGTTTGAACTGAATGCCGCCATTTTGTTCCAGCGGAATGTGCTTTGTCATTAGTATAGGTTGTCGTTACTTGTAAAAGAAGTATCAAGGGAGTGTAATCGGGCTTGCTTTTCTGCGCCCGTTTCCTCACGACCGTTGGCGATCATGCTGACCTACTGTTTAGTGCCGCAATGCAAATTCCGAAAAGAAGCCGGTATCAGGCTATGAGCATTCACCGCCCGAAGACGTCGAGGTGAACAAACGAATGGACATTCAAACTAAGGATTGGAGAGGCACCGTCAGTGTCGGTCGTTGTGTGCCGCAACCCCTTCGAAAAGTGGGACTCGTTTACCCAGTGAAACAAGACGCTGGGTAAGAGCATTATCAACGTACTTCCGTACCCTTTCTAAACGTGTTTATCACTTTTCCCTGTATAATTAGGTCAGAAGTACCGAAAGCTATTGGCGGAGGCCATTCCGCCGATGGACCTCCCTCCCCCGTACGTCCACACGACATAAGGCGATCGTGCGAGAAGTAGGCGAAGCGGCGGCTTATGTGTTTCAGACGCTCACATTTCATTCCTTGCAAGTTCACGAGTTAGGGACTATTACACCCCGTTTTGAGGGCATTTCAAAAGGCATTTATACCAAAAGCCCTTGGGTGGTCGGCAGTTAGCTCGCGATCCTGACCCTACGCGTGTCACTCTGCATACGCTGGTTCGTAGATTCTTTAAAGGCCCTGGGTCTGAAAGCCTTCGAAATGCTTGTGGAACAGGAGTGTTTTACATAAATGTAGGTTCTTCGTGAATTAATGATATGGTTCGCACACATAAGCAGGTATGTTTTTCTATTATTTTAGAAAACGCAGAATTACTGGAAACGTGTTTTTATGGTGGGAAAAAGAGCCAAATTTCCCCTTTCTCATTCTATGAAATGTACTGAATTGCCCAAAATATTCGCAGTACCATAGTGGCATAAGTTGGAGTTATACTTTTTTCCTTGTATTCTTTCTTTATTCCAGCATTGTGTATTCGGCAAATGAATTGTTTAGCTTGAATCGTCAATTTGTCATTTGCAGAAAAAAGAGGCACTTCTACAGGTCCCCAAAACCCCCTACAACTAAACACACTGTCAAAAAAAAAAAAAATAAAAGACAGAAGGAACAGGAAGCGTTTAAACTACTGTCCAGTGGAAGATGCCGCACTAGTAGCAGAAAATGTAGAACCTGAGAAAGGAAGGTGACAGTTTGCATAAGAAAAGCTTCAAGTATTTTAGGCCCAGGACAATTTGATTTAGATGAAATGTAAATTTTAGAACCTGTAAAGCGTACATTGTTTAGGAGGGGTCAATAACGGGCTAGACACCTTCAGTTACGTTTGTTCTATATTACTTGAAGGATATTATAACAAGTCCATAGACACCACCAGTGGAGTTCATTGAAATACTATCCGAAATCCGCAAATGTCGAATGCCGTGCAATGTAAACACATATAATTAAATAACTAGTGTATGGCTGTGTTCCTTTTATTTTTTATCTTGTCCTTGAACTTAGACTGTTTCACTTGTAATTCTTTCGCCATGGCGTACCATATATTTAAAATGTTGCGCGAGCAGCATGCAACATTTCTGCTTCGGCGTTTTTGTTGAAATGCGGATACAAAAAAACACAAATAATAATACTTTGTTGATTCAATCAAACCATCAGCACCAATGATTGTTTGAGATGTAAATCTCTCGTGGTGCTCCTGCAATTGTGGCCACATTTCTTTATTTTCATATACCAGCTGTGATTCAAGCGCTGTCTGCCCTGTCAACCATGCCTGAAATGTTGGTTGAAGTTTCGCTTGCAGCTACAGGCCATACCACATAAAAACACATATGAAGATTCACATTTCGTACGAGAAAGGCACAAAAAAAGGGAAATAAAAACGAGCTTGGCGAAAGCTAATGTCGTCACAGCCTCCGCAAGGCGAGTCAGGGAAAAATTCTGCCCTCGGCGTGATGTCACCCCGATTTGCCGTAAGGGGGCGCCACTCAAACTTCTCGGGGCTAATAGGAAAATAGCAACTCATGAAAAGTTTTTAGCGTTACACAATGGCATCAATAAAATGACTGACTTGTATGTTACATGGCAGATGACTCTTAACACCAATAAATGTAAATGCATGTGTTTTTCTTGTTCGCCACCTTATCCCCAAACCGAATTTCACTGTCCACGGTATAGCCCTTGCTTATGCCAATGAGTATAAATATCTAGAGGTCCACATTACTTCTGAAATTTCCTTATATACTCTTATTAATACTATCATTGATTCAGGAGACTGCAAGTTAGGATATTTGCGCCGCACCTTCAAGTCCGCCTCTCCTGTCCTTAGATGCCTTGTCTATGTTGCCTTCGTCCGCCCAAAATTAGAGTTTGCGGCTTTGATCTAGAGTCCTAACCAATTCACTTCAGCAAAAACACTTGAATCGGTCCAGAACCGGGCTGTTCGCTTAATCACGTGCAATTTCTCACGTTTTTACAGCGTGTCTGCCATGAAAGCTCAACTTAACATTCACAACCTTCCGACTCGTCGTAACATTTCCCGCCTCTGTCTTCCGCACAAAATGTATTACCACCCAAACTTACATCAGTCCCTTCTTTACACGCCTGGTTATGTTTCTCCAAGGTTTGATCATGCCTGCGAGATAGCCCAGGCCAAATGAAGCTCAACGGCCTACTCCTATTCTGGCCTTTCCGACGCCCATTGTGGGCATAAAACGACCTCCCCTGAGAATAGCGTCACCACCAGCGCCGGCACCTTGTTCCAGAGAGTTATGACTGACCACCTCACTAACACCCACTCCCCTCTGCAATGCCTCTGGCCCCGAGGGTATTTGAAATAAAGAAATAAAAGGACGTGGATGGATCTGGATGGGAACAACAAAAGCACGAGGTGCGCAAAAAGCAGACGTTTTTCGTTTATTCTAGTCCCCAGCCACCTCGTAGACATATTCGAAATGGGCGGCGAAAGAAAGAGTAAAACCTTTAAACCTGAAAATTGTAAAACAAATATAGGGGTAAGGCAAAACGAGAATGTGTGACGGTTACGCTTATATCATGAATGTCCTATATTGGCGTGGCGACGGCAAAAGCAGTATTTTCGCCCATACTGGAAGTGACGACATTCAAGATGGCGGCGACCTTGTGGCCACTGCGCGTGCGTAGAAACCAGATTCGCGCATGCGCACAGCGGACAGCAGCTCCACCGCACCGGTGTGACATCGGAGCTCTGCGTTGGTGTATAATTTCTTCCGTCCGCTGCAAGACAACATAGAACACATACATAGAAATGCAGTATTGTGCACCTCTCACTGATGTTTGGCATTCGCTGGGTGTGAGGAAAATAAGACGAGGCTGCGACCACCTTGCATTTGTGGAATTAATTATTTTAATAATGACGAGATATAACAACGAAAAGCTTGTTCCCCAGCGAAAACACATGTCGACTTTTTCTTCCCTCGTTTCGGATAACAGGATCACAGCTCAGTCGCTTCGGCCACAGAGCGAGTCTGCTTCACAATACAAAAAGAAAAAGAAAAAAAAAAAAGAGCAAAAAAAGGCTAAGCACACACAATCATTGTCGCTGACAACGAGCAGTCGCCGCTTGGCCGACAACAATTTTTCTCCCATAACCTCTTCTGCAATAGATTCACTTTTATAACGTCCGATGAGCACACAAAACATTGCTGAGTGAGCAGGATGAAATACTAACCCAAACTAGGTTCTGTACATCAGACTGTGATAACGGTTGTCTGCAGTTTAATATTGTTTTTTTTTAATAAAGATAATGAGCAACGCGATCCTTGAAACTTCAACTAACAGATAGGGGGTTCTTCGTACAACAGGCGCATAAAGAACAAAATCAAACTGTTCGGACAAACAATCGCGGAGCAAGGCATTCGGTGTGCGAGTCTGTGGCTAGTGGATCATTTGAAGACAAGTGTGACGTTTTCATGCAGGATAGCAGCTACTTCTCCGCAACCTTCGGCTTGTGAAAGTTGTACGCGTATTGTGGAGGACGCCGGTAGCTCGTAGAGACCTTTTTTATATCTTCATAGACATCACAGCGAGGGCAAAGGCAGTAGTGACCTATGTACGACCGTGGAAATGCATTTTCTTGAGGTCTAGGAAAGAAGATGGTAAAACATTTCGGCATCACGTATGAAATCAACCCGCTTTCTTTACACTGCGAGACATCGGGCCACGTTAGTGCAATAACTAGTTGTTGCATTGACGCGATGTTCCGTGGATCGCGACAATTCTGAAATGAAAAACAAGACAACAGTCTAGAGCACCTTAAGCTGTCCACCGCAGAAATGCTCGGCAAGATGGAAAAACACGAAGAGCCCATGTAGCTCTCCTTGAAAACTCTATTCACGGTCAGCGATTTTTCTAACTGGAAAGAGACATGAGGCACATGAAGGAAAAATCTATCCTAGCATTTCTCTACCAGCTGCAGCCATTCTTGGAAGAACCGTAGGACTGGATTGGTTAGTACCTCTGGGGATGACGTGCCTAAATGTATTTCGACTAAAACCCATGGAAGAGAAAAAATCAAACATTGGCAAACAACCCAAAACAGAAAAAATAAAGAAAAGTAGAGATTACAAAACATTCTTTGTGGTCCCATGTTATGATAAAGTCTTGAGGGTTTTTAATTAAAAGAAAAACAGCTTTTCCTCAGTTTTAGGGGGTTGCATGGTGATAGTACCGCGTTTTTTTTGGCGTCGGAACTTTTGTAGTGACTTCACTTGCAACAAGTGTCGTCCAAAATTGATTGATTTCTTTTTTGTGAGGGATGTTAATTTTGAAACAGGACCGATTTGGGCAGTTTGAGAACAAGCAAGAAGCAAAAACAGACGAATGGAACGAAGGTTGGGTCCTTTTTAAATATGCGAAAGAATCGCGTACGTTGTTCTGCAAAATATCTAGGTGGTAGCGTCTCCACCGTAAACCAAACAACATACATCTCCAACGAACCTCCCATGACAAAAACAAAAGTAGCCTTTCGTCCACCCACCATCGAGAGCGACACCATTGCAAGAAAAAAAAAGTCGGATGAAAATTGCAACGCCTCTTCGGTGGGCAGACGGCCAAAAAGACATAGAAAACATCACGTGACGCGCTCGCTGGCTGTCTCCGTTTGCGGTTACGCTGTTTCGCGGTCAGAAGAAGAAGAAAAAAAACCGGCCCGTGTTCACTGATTCGCATCGCCATGGGGCCGGCCTGGTTCGACCCCATCTTGCATTAACTACGATTTGCGATTTTTGTGCGGGAGTTTGGTGCGGTGGTGATGCGATCGAAGCGCCGACGCGAGTGAGAGTTGCGCGAGCGTGCACGGCGCAGCAGATCCACCACGGGCGCACCCACGAAAAGCAGCCGCGCCACATACACGTGACAGTAACGACGAACAGCAACAATACGCAAGCGATGCGGAGCTTAGCGGCGGCGACACGGCATCGACAGAAAAATAGAAGCGTTTCAAGCGCGTTCCGACGTATCTCACTCTCGCGGCCACTCTTAGCCACGGGATTTTGAGCGAGCAAATCGAAGCACTGCAGTCGTCCATGGCATATGTCTTCACCGAGAGACAAACAAAACGAACGATTTTCAAGTAAGGAAAGAGGACGTGCAGCCTTTGTAATAGAAGGGCGACCAGGTTATGCGGACTGCGACTCTGTGGCCTCTGCTTTGCATATCGTCGCCTGCTTTGATTTTTTTTTCTTCCCACTCTTCCATAAGATACATAGTAAACCTTGAAACCAAAGTTTCCCCCATGATGCTGTGTACTTGTTTTACAGAAATCGAAATAAACTGGAGGGGATCACTTCTAGTACGTAACCCCTTCCATGGTTTCTGTTTTTTTTTCTCTTTTCTTAGAAAGCTCTAAACCTACAACACGCGTTTTTGCACCAGTGACGCGGGTTCGGGGTTTCGTTTTTTTTTTTTTCTTTGACTTCGTCACAGCTGAATTCAGGCGACGATGAGGGCTAACTTTAACTGGCTTTCTTAGGTTTGGTTCCCTCGTCGCAGCTCCGAGGACAGAAAGTGACCGTAGACGATTTCCGTTCGAGTCACGATGCAGTGAGTGCAATGGGTGTGCTCTTGTATGACTGTGGTGACGGTTTACGGGAAAGAAGAGTGCTCTTTTGTTTCTTCCAACAACGTCGACAACGGCGTTAGCGGTCATCTATATCGAACGGGGAAAAGGAACATCGGTGGGTTCGGTGGTTTCGTTCTTGGGGATGGCCACCCGAAGCGCCTCGGAAAGTCCCTCAACGAAAGTGGCACGGCGATTCTAAACAGATCTAACTGGCTTTGTTCATGACGCACGTCCACCTCCTTCTTGATGCATCGTAGGCTTGGTTCTAACAACGAACAGTGTTGAGCGACTACACGCGCCTCAACTTCGTTACAACGGGTTGCCTCTGTTACCATATTTGAATGGCCATGCAGGGTCTATGGATAATTGAGTTCTCTGCCGCCTGTGTGTTTGTTCTATCGTTACAAAATGCCCTTTGTACAATCGGCAGTCATCGCATCTGAGTCTTTCTGCAAAACGCGTTCTTGGGGGGCCAGTACTTACCCGAAACTACTTAATCCCGAAAAGACTTAACCGGTTAAAAAGCCATTTATTACTGGTTAACGAACTAAGAAGCACTGGTATTTTCTCAATGGTGCTGAGTGTGTGATACGTTGCTGTCATCTAGTCCATAGCCGGACTGGATCGTAATGCCTGTGCCATCGCATGATATGGCATGGGAGCTTTTCTTCGTGGCAGCGCTGTGAGTCTAATGTATTCGCAGTTACACCCTGTTCCTCAACTGGCTGTGATTTTTTGGTGGTGCATTTGGCCCGACGGATTCCCTTTGCGTCCCCAATGTCAAGAGTGCGAACTTGTTTAGACGATCATGCCTTCGCTAATCGTTTTTTATGTTCCTCTAAGGTAGCCTAGTCCGGGAGTAATGCTTGCAACAGACGTGTGTTATAAAAATAAAATGATAACAATTATTAGTACTTGAATTTGCAACATTTACGTGTGCATGACCAGCTTTCAGTTCATTGTTGCGTTCGTGTGTAATTTTAAGAATTAATCCCCAAGGAACACGTTCGTCATTAGTCGAAGAAAATTGAACGGCAGGTAACGCAAAGCTTGAATTTGCTCGAAAAAACTTTTTCCCCAAGATCAGTCCCCCATTGTCGCACCGTGGCCACAGAAAACGTCTGAAGAGAAGTAAACACGCTTGTCGAGCCCTGCAGTGTCTAGTCTGCCTTGATTCGGGCATTCGGTCATTAATCGCGTGTTAGGTGCGTCAAGATCTAGATGCGCGTATTAATTCATCGGTTAACCTGAGATTAACTGGCTACATAAAAATTAAGCCCCCTTAATACTGCCTGTTTTTAGTGTATTCGCGTTGTTTAGGGTTCGTAGCCGGTAACTTTATCTTAAAATCCAGAACGGTAAAAAATGACCGCTTGCAAGCCACGTTGTCGACATCGGTGAGCAGCGTTTTTCCGTATTCATAAAACGTAGGTTCACGTCCCCCTTTACACAGATATTAAGGTGTTAGCAAAAAGAAAACACGCGAGGAAACCTCAGACGTTTCTCCGGCAAGCGTAACCTAGTTTTCTATTAGGAAACACCCATAACCCGGTACCTAGACCTAGTAACAGCGCATTTACACGCAGCGGGCATTGCAACCTCATGCACATATGACGGACGTGGCTTCGACGCTGGGGTTCAACGATTTACTGCAGAGCGCGAAAATCCTTCAATCCTTTGTGCCTGTCGTAACATATCTGTATGTTGTCAAGTCCCCCACAAAAAACCCCAACGTACGCCAGTGCCACTATCTATCCGCCTTCTCAGTTCACCAGCACCTTTTTGTAACGAGTTCAGTTCGTCTCGGCAGCAGACATTTTTGCCAAGGGTGTCGGTGTTTGCCCCAGGGTGACGCAGTTCTGGAGCATCGGCTTCCTGCCATTGTAAACCAGAGCACAGCACTTCTTATTGCATCAGTCGCGAGGCGGGACCAACCCAGACTTCAACGCCAGACTTGGCCTATGTAGCAAAACCTTAGCGGCTCTTCAGCCCAGGACCTTTTGACAGTTCGGAAATGTTCAGGCGCTATCCTCGAGTTCTAAGTCGAGTGGGACGATTAAGGAGGGCCGTTCTGTTTCCGCCATTTCTTCTATCGCCTATTGTTTCAGATTACGAGAAAGAAGTTTAACAAATCCAAACCATAGCTAAGACAATCGTCGGCTGGAACGTAAAAAGGCTCAACCATCGCAAACACGATGTCGATAATGTTTCCGTAAAGGAGGTCAAGAGAGAAAGCAGTGTCAGAAACACACGCACAATCGACCTAAAAATGGTGTCATCACAGCTTGTCAGGTGGCGGTGAGGGGTTTGTTAACACGTAGCGACAGTTGTGGTAGTAGTGGTAGTAGCGGTAGTAGCGGTAGGTGTTGCCGATGTGTGCTTGGTATCATGGGCGATTCGGTTTCATTCCGTTCTTCTCGACACCGCGGGAGAAACTAGAAGGACCGAATGCACCTCATCGGGAGCACTATTACCGCTGGTCTCTCTTCCGCCACGATGCACGTTCACCCTGGTGTCGGTCACTCAAGCAGACAGTCTGCGCAACACCGTCGGACCATCCTGGCATCAGGACCGGACGGACGCAGAAACCGCCTGCAGGGTCGTCCTTGCCGAAGTCGTCGCCGACGCGAGTTGTTGAAGCGACGCCGAAGTTCTACTACGTCGGCTCAGGGGCAATACGTTGTCTGTCTGAGTTGGGCTTCAATGTGACTTGCGAGACGCGACGTCACGACGTTCCGTCATCATCGCTCTTGTCTTCGACAGATGGCCGCAGACATGGTCGGAAACTGACCAGGTCTCCGTTGTTGTCCTCTGCGACTACCACAACCGGCGCCGTCGTCTCGTCCGTCGTCGTGGTCGGGGTCTGAACGTCCTCCTCCTCGTCGGTGGCGTCTCCACCAGCAAATATGGCGGTCCGCGACGTCGACGACGACGGGAACTCTGCCGAAAACGTCCACGAGTTGGACTCGCTCGAGTCGGGGTCGATGGCTTTGCTGAGTTCGGGGTAATTCGGAAGGAGGTAGCGCAGTTTCGACGTGGACGTGCTCGTGGTCTCTGAATCTTCGTCGTCTTCGTCGACGTCCAACGGCGGTGTTGGACTCGTTGACGGAAGGTCGTAGGCTTCGTCGGTGGTGAGTGCACGCAGGTCGGCCACGGCCACCTTCTCGGTGGACCCGTCTTCGGGCGAGGCTCGGCGGATGTTCACGTCATCGATCGATGCTGCTGATCTTTCTTCCGTCGTCAATTCGATATCGGCGATGTCGATTCCGGCGGCGTCCGAATCTGTGGACGACGATGACGCCTTGCTGCGAATCGGACTGTCCTGGTCGTCCGGGATGCAGATGCTAATCACGGGCAGCGCCGATGAAGATTCGCCATCTGCAATGGGGTGAAACCGTGTCCGAATTAAGGCGCCCAAGTTGCCTTAGATAGATTAAAACAAGAGAAAACCGATTAGCTTAAACCGGACGCAAGCCTCACGGCAACAGTCTGATCGACAGGTGTGGTAGACATGAGGGCTTTGGCTTGTCTCGATATTGGCACTCATACTAGTATACTACGTCTCACTTGAAGTCCGGACGTAGCCGACATGGGGATCAATCATGCAGTGTTAAAGGCGCAAGTCCCTATGTCTTCTCTGCATATGATGAATTGAGCGATAACAAAACACATACAGAAACATGACGAATACCAAGTTGGTGCGCTTTTGAGGCTATATGACTGGTCAAACAAGTTAGTAGCGTCTGCTGCGTCTGGATTTAAGATGAAACGAAGAATAGTAGTTGAAAATAAACTAGGGATAGTCTTTTGAGTTAATGCTTTTAAAGCAAGATGGTATCGACACTACTTGGCATCTCCGTGTTGTTTAGTAAACTCATACTACGCGCAAAAATAATTGATAGCTTTTAACGTAGTTTTACGTAGACAATTTTATGTGGTTATATGAAATAAAACAATATGACCAAGGTAATAATACGAGGAAAAACGCATACGTTCAAGAGAAAGTTTTAACCCGCTCCATATCTGATCAGTCTTTACATGATATATATTTGTAACAGGCACGTAGCCAGAATTTCGTTTCGGGGGGGGGGGGGGGGGGGGGGGGGGGGTCGCCCATAACAAAATGCTGTATGAGAGGGAGGGGGGAGAGGAGGTCTCAGCAAAATGGAAGATATGGAGGGGGGGGGGCCTGGGCCCCATGGGCCTCCCCCCTGGCTACGTGCCTGATTTGTAACCTCCCACAGCTCATGGAGATGTCTAAAAAAGGACACACTTAACCAGGTATTTTCGTTTAATAGTAAGCAAATAGTATCAAGGCGACTGCACTTATCCGTCACCCTCTGTACTGAATACCACCTCCAAATGCCACTTTTTAATTCATTTGTCTCATTTGTGGGTAAATTTGAATACTTATTTGTTGCAGTAAACTCGAACGCGTTGCGAACTTACAAGTGTTTAAGTTAATAAACAGAAGAGTTGCATACAAGTATATACTAAGAAACATTTGCGCTTGTACTAAAATATATCGATCATACCTTCATTCGCAAAACTGCATTGCTACGCCACGGCCGTCGCCGACGCAAAGTTCGCGGAATCTTAGATGGTTACCACCTGAATACAATTCTGCATTTGAACTTTACCAGCTCAGGAAGGGGAAGCGGTAATGATAATACAGGTTTTTTAACGAAACATAAAGAGTAACACCTGTATCAGAGGAATGTAGAAGTATACGTAAAACATCGTGAAATGTGCAATAAAAAAAAATGTTTTATGTGCGCTAGGTCAGGTTATGCCATGTTCGGCTATAACACAGCCACATGAAAATGAGGAGTAAGTTCGTAGACGTGTTCCTTACAAACTTTCAATGCTGCAGCTGTAAAACTTGTGTCGATGCACAACTTAATTTGGAATGATAGCTTTCCTGAACCGAGATTTTCGGGCGAAAAGTGAACCTGAGATAAATACCTCTTAAAGTTTCAGCAGTTCTAGCATAAAATGTGCCGACATTTTAACAATATTTTTTTTTTTCAGAAAACAACAGTAGCGAAGGAATAAACTTTCTGACTAATCCTCTCAGGAGTTTGGCCAGGTTATATGCTATTTTAACACAGAATGTTTGTAAGGGCTGGGAGACCTGAAGTTAGGGGATTGAACGTCACGGAACACGTTACGAAACATATTTCAGAGGAAAATCTCTATAAATCAGTGGTGAATTAAGAAGAAAGAACGAACTTCTAAACGCCTCCCAGCGGGAATCGATCCCACAAACACAAAATTGTGACCTCAACATTGTACCACTGCAACAAGAAGGAGACGGCCCCCAGGCGAAAATTTCTAACTGGGACCAGTTGGCACCTCAACTGGTTTCAACTGGGACTAACTGGTCCCAACTGGGAATCAACTGGGACCAATAGGAGTCCAACTGGGGCCAGCTGAGGGGTCAACTGGTTTGAACCATTCCCAGTTGGGAGCCAACTGGTTTGAACCATTCCCAGTTGGGAGTCAACTGGTTTGACTACCAGTTGGGAATGGAGTGAACTGGGACCAGTTAGGAAAGTAACTGGTTGGAGCGATTCCCAGTCGGACTTCAAATGCCTTTCCCGTTCCCAGTTCACATGGGGCAACAATTTGGACAAGTTGGGGCTGTATTGACCTTTGCTAATGAAGAAAACTAAAAACACTAACATTTTTAGATTTATACAAATAGAGAATTTTAATTACTGGGGTACATTTATATATTTATAAAAATAATATAAAAATTTTAATTAACTAAATAATTTTTTAATTGGAAAATATAATTAGTGACAAAATGTGTTCACCTACATTTACACTTTTAGTGAATTATTAAAATATATTAAAACATTTATTTAAATACCTACAGTATTTTTTTTCTTTTAATACATAAATTTATCTTTTGACTAATCAGAGCTAGCCGGCCGCCGTGGCACGTGGGTGCGGATTAGTGGTACGCGCTGTCGACAGATGGCGCTGCCTATGCTGACGCCGGAGTCGGATGGACGCGGTAGCGAAGGGTCCAGGGTTGCCAGGTTGGGCTATAAATAGCCAAATTGGGCTAGTTTTATTTGCAGTTGGCGGGAAAAATTGGTAGTTGGCTATTTGGCTAGTATTGGGCTATTTCTAACCTGTGCATTGGGCTATTTCTGACCTGTGCATTGGGCAATTTCTGACCTGTGCTGGAACCAAAATGCCTGAAAGCACTTGGGTTTATAGGTTCGAATGTATTTTTAGAGTAAGTTACGTGAGCATTTGGTGCTTCAGTCCCTTAAAGGGGCACTCCACCGTTTCTTTCATTGTCTCCGATTTGCTAGAAATTTTGCTAAACTAACCAACAAACATAGCTAAAATAGTACCCCAAATATTAGGTCAAAATATTGTTTTTTCGCGAAGTTATTGAATTTACAGTTTTGGTCTTCACCCTGTTTTTCAAACTGAAAGTCTCTACTGGCAACAACAACCAAGTGACGTCAGTGGAAGGCAGGGGTTAACTTTTTGGACTACAGAAGTTGTTCCCAACGGATTTGAAGCAGTTTCTTGGTGTCAAATGAGTGCTTTGGAAGCTCGCTCCCGTATCCGCGCTCCAGCACGGAACAAATGATTGGCATATTCTATTTTTAGACTACTTGCTCGACTGGCAAGCCTGCCTGCCACTGATGTCACGGTACTGAAAAGTGCGCGAATATTTGAATACTGGTTTTTGCACCATTTTCGTTTGCCGATTTCACAATACCTATTATGAATTTCGCGATGCTAAATAGCATGCCGGAAAGGCTAAAGGCCGGGGAGTCAGAAAATATAGTTAGTTGAGGTAGCTCAAAAAATCGGTGGAGTACTCCTTTAACCCTGATAAGTTTGCGACAGCAAACAAATTTGTCTTCTTTTTGCTCGCCTTGTGCATTTGTTTACCAACGAATGCAAGCATGTGCTGTTATTCCTCCATCTCAACAAGTGACGGCGCGATTCCTTGCGGCCTTAACAGCACCTGTTCTGCGCATTCTTTAGGTTGTCTGAATTTTGCATAGTTCTCCCGTGACGTCATTCTGGTCACCCGAGCGTTTCAGGAAGTTCGCCGAACGTGCAAGGGACGCCATTTCTGGGGCATTTGATGGATAAAAATGTATTATGTGTCTTTTCTGCTCAAAACAAACGTTTCAAATTATAAGTTTTTCTTTGGCTATTTTTGGGCTATTTTTCTGGATCGACATTTGGCTATTTTTGGTCTAGATCTCGTAGACGTTTGGCGGGTTGGAGTTCAAACACCTGGCAACCCTGGAAGGGTCGCCATCGCCCAAGTTGGCGTCGTTATGAAAATGTCAAAACTACAGCTGCGCTTCTTTGGACCTAACTGTACACACACCACGGTGGCGGCGGTGAACTTCGAGGATGGAAAGATGCAGTTCAGCGATCGGAGGGCACCCAGGAAAGACCGGACGCACATAGACCGGACGGAAGAGAACACGCCGCGGAGAGCACAATGGCGAAAATGGCGGGAGGTCTACCTCGAAAATGTTCGACTCTTGTGACAGAGATTGCAAGGTGGGAGCGCTACCGCATCTTATCAGGACTTCACCTGCGCAACGCAGGATCACGGGTGAGCACCTTTATTCACGCGATGGGAAGAGAAGCTGAGGACGTCTTCACTAACAGACGCCAGCGGCCGATCTTCCTTCATCTCATGAATACCACCTCTGAAAAAGCGATTCAACCGTCGCAAGCAAGTGGCTAAACCCGGAGCATGTACATCACCAAACCTATCTAGTTTCATTCTCCAAGTTTTTGACAATAAAGTATTGTCAACCTTGCATTTTGTGCTGTGTTTCATTGTTGCTGGAGTTGGTACCAACTCCAACTGGGACCAGTTGTAACTGGGACCAATTCCAGCTGGGAATTGTTCCATAAACCAGTTGCAACTGGGACCAACTGGTCCCAGTTGGACGACTCCAACTGGGACAAGTTGCAACTGGGAATTGTTCCATAAACCAGTTGCAACTGGGACCAGGGCCGTACCCAGAAAAAAATTTCGGGGGGGGGGGGGGGGGTTTCGTGGACAACGGCGGCCATTTTGAAAGTGTCTATTGTCTTGTTTTCGCCTACGAATCATGTTCATCGGTGGCATATAATGGAGAGTTGCAGCAAACCGGAGAACCGGTCCCGGTTTGGTATCCGGTAGCCGACCGGCGCCACTGCGCGTGCGCAGGGGTGGAGATTAAAATCGGCTGGCTGCAAGTGCACCGACCAGGGCTGTACCCAGAAAAAAATTTCGGGGGGGGGGAGTCAGAACCCCCTAACCCCCCCCCCCCCCCCCCTGGTTACGGCCCTGACTGGGACCAACTGGTCCCAGTTGAAAATTTTCGCCTGGGGGGCGAAGCGATATAAACTGATCTACGCCAAGGGTGGAAAGCGTGTGCGTCGTAACATGTGTAAACTGCTTCCAATCACCACACACACAAAAAAATACAAATTTGAAATAAAATAGCACGCTATAAGCAAAGACAAATAAAATCCTGCAATGCCCACCTTAAAAACCCCGACCTAATGCGTAGGATCAATATATTTAAAAAAAAAAGGTGATAATAAATACATTCAGCTTCGATGTAGTCTCCACCGTAATGTCTACAATTTGTGAACTCGGTGTTAACTAGTTGATTTTGTTTTGTTTTGCTTTCCCGGTGTTACGGAACCGTGATGGTGAGATCCAAAAGCGAAAAATCAAGCTATCCGTCTTACTTGCGTCGTCGCGAAAGTAGAAAGTGAAGTTGGCTGGCAGGGATGACATTTTCACGATGGGCCTGTGCAGCTCCATCTTGGCGTCCATCACCAACTTGTTCTGAGGATGAAACCACCCGAAAGAATTGTGATCGATTGACAATAGGATGATTAAAAATGCTTTCTTATCAGGCATGAAATGTAAGTCCGTGCTTCAATTGTTTTAATAAGAAGATATACAGAGTGTGATGAATCGATGGGCTCACTCTAAACTGAGCCAGAGAAATCGGCACATGCACGTAACGAGCTTCAACTTTTATGAAAGATGTAATTTTATGGTGACATTTGCCTTCCAAATATTCGAGTTATTTTTTTTTCTATAAAAGAAAAAGGTAAACCAACATTCCTGAAACGTGCACTTGTGGACGCCGACGCCAAGGAAAGGGGTAATTTAGGTTTGCTCTTGTGGAGCCTTCTCCCGAAAAGTGCAGAAAGCAGGCGATGGCGCTCGGTGGAAAGCAGACGACGCGTGTTGCGCTACCGCGTTACTCTTTTTCGTTCATACTTCCGCTTTACACATTTTTTAGGCATTTTGTTACAAAACTCCAGAACTATACACATTCTGTGTAATAAAATGTAGTAAACATCCAGAATGAGCGCCCTCCCGTGACAGATATGTAACCCATAATGTGTCACTATTTATATCTTGATGGGTGGGAATGTATTCAGCATTTACGGTAATTACTGAAGTTCTTGAAGAAAGAATCCCATGCCTGCTACACAAGAAAAACCCTCAACTCAGGCCGAGTTTGACCATCCCGGTGGCCTATATCTTGGGACTAATAAGGTTTTGCTCCGATGTGTAGCTTAAGGCCAAATAACTTTTCTTTGACCCTAACCAGCCAGAGAAATGTCAAGCCTGTATTTTTCACAGATTCACCACATAAATATAAAGATGCCAAACATTAGCGAAAGAAAAAACCACGTGATAATTAAACAGCAAGCAGTGAGGCCTAATTCTGGCATTTGATTCGAAATTGAGGCCCTAAGTTGCCAGAGGACAATCCAACAGCCGTGTGGTTGAGCCTAACCCTGGCACTTGTTTGACAATTTACGCCCGAATATGCCAGGTGATAACCAAGCAACCACATGTGAAGCTAGGTCTCCTAGTGAAACATCGGCACGCCGTCCTGATGTCTTCCAGAAGCTCCATCTTCACGTTCTTCTGCCAGCTTCGCTCCCCTTGGTGTTTTGTCTGCTACATCTTTGTAAATTTTGGGCCAAAACACCCATACTCTGGCCGAAGATTACAGCGTTTTGGTTATATATTGTATCCTTTTGGCAATTAAAACCCTAAATTAAAAAAAAAAAAAATTGGCTGAAATAGTTTTATTTTGGGCCGAAATTACAGAATCTATTACTTCGATATAATTGTTTTATGGGAAGTCCTTAAGTTGAAGAAGGTTTACGTAAGAATAAATTGGCTTTCAGGTGAAATGAAGGTCAAGTCGCACCCAATGGGCAAGTGCTGGCCGCTAAAAAGCTAACCCCTCCCCGGATCCGGGTTTCAACCCCGGGACCTCCCTAAGACCGGCGGAGAGCTCTGCCAACTGAGCTGATCAGAATCAGACGAATATTTGCTCCACCGACCGCCAGCTCCGAGTTAGCTAATTTGATAGAGCGCTCCGCTATTTTTGAAAGGTTCCAGGGTAAAATCAGTACAAGGCAGATTTTTTTGGAAGCCACCAGTCACCCAGGGGGCACAAATGGCGCTCCCTTTTAGGTGGAAGCCAATTTGCTCTTACGGGAATCCATTACCGGTAATGCGGATTGCGCGCGCCAACCAGTGTTCCGCGAGTACCTTGGCCTGTAGGAGCTCCCGTTCTTCCTGCTCCATCTCCTCTTGGAGCTCGGCCTCCATGTCTAGGTCGTCGTCCATCTGCTTGTGGGACTCCTCCAGGTGTTTCATGAGGACAGCCACCACGACGTTGACCAGCACAAACTGGGCCATGAGCACGAACACGACGAAGTAGAGCGGGGCGATGATGGCAGACACGCAGCAGTTGCGCACGCAGTCGCTCCTTGCGTCGCACTCGTCTCGAAGGGTGTCCTGGAACAATTGAGCCGACAGTCAGTTCGTTGTAAAATATTAAGACAAAAAAAAAAAAAAAGAAATAAAACACCGGTTACGAGTGCCGCCTGCAAGAACCTTTCACATTTTCAAAGAGATGGGTTGGTGTAAAAAGCAGATGAAATGGTGGTTCTCTTTTTTGGAAATTTTCAGCACGCGTTTTTGCACCAACATGGTGGCTATACTAAATACTACGCTGTGAAACAAGTCGGAAAAATCGACGGCTGCACCTGTAAACCAGAAAATATCACAGAATATGTATTGATGTGGTGCATTTTAACGGATGAAATTTCTATGTATTGCTCCTTTTCTGTGCAAAATGAAAGTAATAAACTAGCCAGAGTCAACCTCAGAAGGGTTCGCAAACGACCAAGTTAGCGATGCTTCCAGCGTTTCGTGCCATCTTCAGCTACGCGCAGTGAACGGACAACAGAGCGCGCCCGCTGCTCCCATGGAGAGATGGCGCCACGCGCTACAAGTTTAGCTAACTCGGTCGTCTGCTAACCCCTCCGCCGTTCACCCTGGCGAGTTGGTTGGCCTCATTCTGCACAGAAAGGGAGGTATGCCTTAAAATTTCGTCAGCTAAAATGCGCCTTTTCCACAATTCAGAAAGCTTGCGCTTTTTATGTCCAAGCGTAAACTTTTTAGGCTTCGTTTTAAAGCGTAAGGTTCACTAGCCCTCCTATATATTACAGCTTCGTGTTTTGAAGTCAAGATGCTGTCAATATTTGATCCGCCCAAGCAAGCTGGCGAAGGTGGCAGCTTTGGGATCTAGCCACTAGACGCCATAGATTTCGCAGAAGTCTCCCCAGTGCGGCTAACTCAGCGCTGTTTCAGCGCTAAATGAGCGCTGAAAGGATGTTTAGGGATGTTTAGGACTTAAACCTAACTCCAACAAAGGTCTGCGTTTACTTCATATGCCTTACTTCCTAGCTTATCAAGTGAGTTTTGAGGGTGGCATTGGTTTAGTGTCACGGCGGTGTTTTACCCCAGTAGGTCACGTTCTTCTCAGTTACCTAGAAACTCCGAAGGTCGAGCCGAGCGGCTGAAGCTGACGTGAATCTAGTTTTGCAAGTATCTATTAAGGCGGGCACGCGTGTACACTCGGTCATATCAGTGAAGAGCATACACAACCTCTAAATCCAAGCAGATTTATCGCTCACTTTCCGCCGCACAGTGTGCTCAAATATTACAGCAGGAGGTTTTCTTTCCTTTGTTGTTTCTTCCTCCCTCGTTACGAAACCGTGCAAGTGTTCGCAGAGGAGAAATTTTATGAGATTGTATAAGGGAGGTAATACCGCTTCTAACAACGCGCCTGACCCATAACTGGTGATAGTTAGCTATAACTAGCTCGGTCCCACCCGTATAAAACTTCCTTCATTTTGGTTGTTCCTGCTTAGCTACTTTATTTGCATCAATTTGCTGCCGAGCCTAGGCATGTATGTGACATTTTGGAAGCTGGCTTCTGGTTGCCTGTGATGATACTGAGTTGGACCTCGTTCCAATGGCTAAGACAAAAGCGGGGAACTTCTATCCACCAAATTGCATCAAAACTTGACGTTGAGAGTTTTCTCTAGTAAGCCAAGTTAAATAACTCGGCCAAAAGCAAGCACAGACGGACATACGTAGAGAGAGTCGATCTTCACGAGAGACCGATCTAGAAGCTCGAAAGGTTACTATAAAGGCATGCTATCGTGACACTTCGCACTGACGATATGCATTATCGCTAGGTATCAGCTTAGAATATTTCAAGCTCGCTGTCACGATGAACGAGGCCAATAACCCAGATCCAAACTATCATTTTACTGTCTGGGCGACACGGAATAAAATATTTGCGATGGGCCAGAGCATTTCATCCTAACTATGCTCGCCAAAACCCAATGCCTTCCGTTAAGCGGCCTCCCCATTGTCTAGAATCGACATCTTTGTTTCTTGAACAAAAAGAAGAAGAAAAAATGTAGACCCAATGTTTCGAAGTTTTTCTTCTCTATGAACAAGCAATCCGTTTTCTCCAACAATGTTGAACTGAAGGGTGAGGTTATACCTGGCTTCCCAGTATGCTTATGCACCCCCCCCCCCCAAAAAAAAAAAAAAAAAACGCTGTGCAATTGTGAAAAAAAAAAACAAAAAAAAACCCAGAAAGTTCTGCATCCTTTTGCGAATCCTGAAGAAAGAACTATACATTTTTTTTACTATATCTATAACATGGCTCAGACATCGAAAACGCCTTATTTCTGATTATGCCAACCGATCCGTGATTCCCAGGAACAAATAAACCCCAGCATAAAAACGCTTTCCTTGCACTCCTGCTTCGTTCTTAAAGCAATTTCACAGATGGATCTGCTATTCAGAGGTGTAAGAAGATTGCTTCATAAATTCGACGATCTGTTCTTTCCAATCAAATGAAGACAAGCTGGCTTAATTTAAAAAAAAATATATAATCGCTTGCTCCGGAAGCTCTGAAGTTTTCTCTTTGATGAGTTCGAATGTGTACAGATGTGATAGAAATAACAAAAGCGGTAAGTGGGCGGGGTGCATTCAAAACAGTGAACAGTGAACAACCGCCTGTCGCTATCATCAGTGGTTACTGCAGCTGGCTGAGAGGTTGTTTTGGAATACATTTAAGCACCTTCATCATAAATACTCACTGAATTTTGTAACAGCCTACCGGATAGGAGTAATGGCTTTTTGCAGTTACTACACTAGTGTTTCAACTAGGTGTCTTTAAAATTCCTTAAATCTCCGTATAATTCTCGTTAATTTTAATATCACTGCTATAAAAAAAAAAATCGATATGCGTTTTCAACCTTTCATTTCTTTTTACTCAGCTAACAAACATCCTTATTCGTACTAGCCACATACTTGATTTTCGCATATGTACAGATACTAACGCCATTAATAAATTATAAGCTCATATTGCTTCCTAGGCTGAGTGCCTTACCTTGTAGGTAGTTTTAGGTTTCTTACACATAAGGCATCAACCTATAAAAACATATAAAACATTATAACAACGCCTACAACAATTGTATTACCACTGAACTAGAACAATTTCTTCGGTGACGCTTTCCACAGCCCAACAAATGGTGAAAACTGGTTCGGGTTGCTAGAAACAGTCATAGCGGAGACTTAGTAAAAACATCTTCTCAAGCCTAGGGCGCTGAGCACTTGAGACTCCACTTAACGTACGTATAACTCCGCTCGCGTTTTACGGTTTTGGCAATGCTTCCTTTCACATAATCTTAGCTGAGACTAGGTTCTTACCTGATCGGCCCAAGCTTCAACTTAAAAAAATCATGGTGAATTTTTTTCTACGACATGGTCTCTCAATTAAGACTTTGTGGATATCAATTCTCCGATCCTACGAAGTCAGGTGGTGGGTGAAGTGGTGCTCACTTTCATGATGCCGTTCCAGTTGTCACCCGTAGCGACTCTGAACAAGGTGAGGAAGGCCATTCCGAAGTTGTGGAAGTGGGCGTGCTCCCCGAGGCCCTGGCAGGGGTGACTTTCGTCACATTCTGTGAACAGTCAAATGCGGACAAGCAGAGTATGAGTAACAAACAACAAGAAAATGGTGCGACACGTATGTCATACAATTGAATTAAACATTAAGATAAACAGAAAAACCTCCGACATCTTGAAAACCCCATACTCAGGAATAAAAAAAGTGGGCAACACACGCAAAGGTCGCAAGCCTGTGTGTTGTGTGGTCTTAGACCTGTTTGAGTGTTGTTCACTTTTTGTTGTTATCTTGGGTGTTCTGAAATGTTGAAAGTTCAGAAACTTGCCTATATGTTCTCTGAATTTTTAGAAAAATTGGACGTGGGAATTTCTGAAGCTATAATTTGTGGACCGTTAATTTTTGGAACGCTCAGGCATTCTTCACGCCACGATGAAAAACAAAGGCAAAACGTAACAACTAACAGAGATGATCTTAAAAGACGGATTGTAAAACGGAAAAGTTTAATTTTGTTTCTGGGCAGAAAAATAAGGTTTTAGGAAAAGTAATTTAAAAATATCATCTCACTGTCGTTCTCAAACGGGCCCATTTTGTGTTGATGATCGCAGCGCCAAGTCTAGCAGAACAACAATAGTCTGGTGAATGAAACGACACGGGTCAGTGGTACAAGTACAGTTGAGGCGATTAATCCTGGAGTGATAGGTTATTTAGTCAAATTGAGCCGGAAATTAGTTGTAGGTTCGGCTACTTATGCCACAGCTGAAAAAAGGAATAATCTGACCAATGCCGGACGTCTGCTAAACCGGTTGTTTAGCCTGCACAACGCAGTAGTCATGGGCGTACCAACCCGGGGGGCGGGGGGGGGGGGGGGGCAAGGGGGGCGCTCGCCCCCTTAGTTCTCAGACTGGGGGGCAAGGTATGCGTTTTGCCTCCCCCCTTCCCTCCCCTCCCCCCCCCCCCCCCCCCCCCTGAAACAGCCGCCACTAGTCAGGGCAAACATTGGCCGGGGGCGCCCAAGTGATACCAAGGGCACAGGCCCCCGGCCCTTGGGGGGGGGGAGGGGGGGGAGGGGTCTCGTTTGCCCCCCCCCCCCCCCTCAAAAGCAAATTGGTACGCCACTGGCAGTAGTAATGCATTGGTGAGCTGCGTTAGTGCTAAGCTCATTCAGCGACTCAACCTGATCAAAACTCGACAGATACAAGACCGCGCACCCGTACATTGTTCATCCAGACCAAAACGGACAGGGAAGAAGACTGAACCTAAGGTCTCTGGGTCTTGAGCTCCGCGACTACTCACCCAGCCGGCCGAAGAGCTCGACGCCGAGTGCAGCAAAGATGAAGAAGAGGAGGAAGAAGAGAAGGCCGAGGTTTCCGACCTGCGGAAGCGCTTGCATCACGGTATCCAGCAAAGCACGGATGCCCTTGGCCATCTTCAGCAGTTTGAGCACTGTACCGTACCGGGCCACAGAACGGCACAGCCGAAAGCGAAAGAAAAGAGTGCGGAGAACAGAGAAGCAGGACGGTTAGAGGCAACTCAAACATTTTAAGGCAAATAACACGCACACAAAAACAACAACCATGGTCCTGCTTGGTGATACTATACGAAACATCCCTTTCAAAGTCATGCATGAGCTATATGACCATGAAGATAAAGGAGACTATTGTCATCGACATTTTAAGAAACGCAGGGCGTGGCGAATCTTGAGCCTCTCATTATCACTACGTAGCCAGTAAGATTGTGGCATTTGTCGGTAGGAACGCAAAACAACCAATCACGAAGTAAAAAGTGGCAACAAAACAGATCCTGCGTTTGTTCAGCTTCCAGTGTCTATACGGAGAGCAAGTCGTCTGCTTCTTGCGTAGGCGTTGCGGTGACGTCAGAAAGACGCCGAGCTCTGATTGGCTCTGATTGAAGGATAGGACATAGACTTCAAAGCAAACTGCCTTGAGGTCTACCCACTATTCTTCATTCAGAACCAATCAGAGCTCGCCGTTCTGACATCCCCACAAAAGAAGCAGACGAACTTGCGCTCTGCATTGTTCTAAATAACAATCAACTTTATTAAAAAAACAACAACAACAACTCTTGAGCACTGGAGTCAGGCAGATACTACGCATGGTGAAGTAAGGGTTACTGCTCAGTCGAGTTGGTGAATGATAATAGTGGGAAAAAAAAAGCCTCGAGAATAGAGACAAAAATTCGGTCATCACATAAGCGTCTCAAGTTTGATACGCTGTTGTATTGTCCGAAGTTTTGTCCCTAGTCTCAGGGTTTCTTTTCACTATAACTATGTTTGGTGTTTGTTTTTGGTTTGAGCAGACCTACTTTCGCACCCACAAGCTTTGCGTCTATTGCTCGGTGGTAACATTAGCGCACCTCCATGCTTGCCACTTGTTTTAGGTTTTTCTAAAATAAAAAAAAGTATATTGTGGTTCTAGGTGACGTTCAACTAGTGTTTAACTAGATTTGAAGCCATATGTTTATTTTCACAAATGAAAAGGTATTATATGAATCTTAGTTAATCATCCTTCTCATCGTGACGATTGAACCACTATAATATGTTTGTGCAGGTAGAACTCACCCGCACAAACCACTTTAGTGTGCCTTTCAGTGAAATTTTGGTAGACCTGTCCGAAATAAAATCAAACATCTAAGCTTATATATCTAGACTTGTTCATTGTCTTTGATAATGTCACCGATGAGCTGTTTTGTCATGGTGTCCTTCCTAAAACACAATCAGAGACTTTATTTGCAGACGACGTGTCTTGGGGGGGGGGGGGGGGGCAGGTGGACTCTACATTGATTTTACTGTTGATGATATTTGCTCTACCCATCAATACTGTATTAAAGAAAAGACCTCCCGAATCCGTTGAAAAAACACAGTATTCAACTTTAGTATGTATTCTAGGAAATATTCCAAGTCATATCACACTGCTACAGTCTAAGAATGTTTCATGAGTGATCAGCACTTTCTTGATTTTAATGTTAACTATAATGTTTGCCAGCCTTTACGCAGGCTAGGAGTAATGGCTTATCCAGTTATAGTGTTAGTACTGAATATGGTATTTAGAGTTTTTTTATATTTGCTCGAGTCAAAAATTACATTTCAAGTTCAGCAAGTGCAATCATTGAACACACACAAATGTAAAATGTACGTCTCTGAGGGTAACCATTTTCGTTGTAATCGTTGATATTATTATAATTTAATTTAAAGTAAACTAAAATTGATGAATTATATAAGAAATCTGATCGTTGAATTTAAGTTCGAATGACAGTCCTACTCTCTTCTGCACACTTTTGCGTGCCAGTCAGCACAAAGCTCGAAATTTGTTCGAAGACTGAAGTTGATCCAAATCGTTATCCCAACCAAATCCCTCAATTGGATCAAGTTTGCCTTCTCAATATGACACCGGTGTGGAAAGTGTAGTAATTTAAACACATTTTTTTTTATAACTTTGACAGCTTGAATCGCGCATGCTTTTTAGAAAGCAAGGGTTATGTGCAGCCGTGTGCTTTAATATTTACCAGAGGTGCCCTCTGTTTGTTGCTTAGCACGTAAAATATATTATGAACAAATAAATATATAAGTAGTGAACAACCTCACTTTTGTTTACGCTGGCCCAGTTTGTGGGCCGACAATTTCGGTTTATATCGGCTCAATCGTTTGGTCTTTTCACTGGCACCACTGCAAGTGAGGTACTCAGTACCAAACAATTTCATGGCTACCTGTAAACTGTGAACTACCCCTGAAGGTGAGAGTTTAATTTGTACCATACAACTTCGTGGCTACCTGTAAACGTGGACTAAATACCCGTGAAGGTGAGGGTTTAACTTGTTTCAGCTCTAGGGCATATACAAATCATTATTTTTGCTTCTTAAAAATTATACCCGATCGGTATCACTCGAATCCCCAAAGGTAACATTCCCCGTTGCAAACATAATCATTTAGTGAACCAAGTGTGTAAACATTTTTTTTAAATGCGCAGCTCTCTATGGCTGCTTTACGGCGCACTAATGTTAGGTTATTTGTTCCTTGTCACTCTCTAACATTTAACTGGCGGCTAAACGCTATCATTCGGTGGAAGGCGAGCCGCCCCAACAAAACCAAAATGCACAACTTGATGACTAACACCAAAGCGAGGTAGCGCAATGTTTCTTCACTAATCAGCTTGTGAATGAATTAAAAAAAAACAAATTTTCGCGTACATTGCGCACGAAACACGCATACACTTTTACAAACTGCAAGCGTGTTCTATCAACGAAACGCCACGGTACCTCTGGCAATACGCAGTACGCGCATGACTCGGATGATGGTAGGATTGATGGGTATCAGGTCCGATTTCATCTCCTCAAGGACGATTCCCATGATGGACAGGATCACGATCAGGATGTCCAGTTGGTTCCACCTGAGAATGAGGATCGAGCCTGGTTAAGGCGGCTCTATATCTTGGTCGTCTCTTTCTACAAGAGCCGAATGAAAAGTAATGAAACCGATATTTTAAAATTAAAAAATGAGGTAACTCTCCTTGCTTTGATAGTTCTTTTTTTTCTAAGTAGCATCCATCACATTCAATACATTTAATATAATGTTTCAAAAGCAATTAAATAAAATGCAAAAAGAAGGTTTTGCGATATCATATTGAACTCACGATTTTGTTCACTTCATCGTATGAAGAGAACCGTCTTTCGTGCAGTTTTTCACCTTTTTTTTCCGGTGTTGCAAATTCCAAGAAATTACACGGAAATACGTCCAGGTTATACGAAGAGCGGTACAGTACAGTTACCACATTTTAAAGCTTAAGGCATGATTTAATTACACGCCTCTGCCATACTCTCACAAGCATGTATTTGTCACCCGCTATGACTACACGTATGAGGTTCCTTCGCTCGCTGCGACAAAACACGAAAGACTATGGCGATGCAACCGGGGTCTCAGACAGGTGGATGTATATTGCCTTCACAAACATAAGTACAACACTGCCTGTCTACGTTCTTACAAAAATCAAACAACAGAAGCACTCTCATTACTTTTCAATCAGCCCTTGTATTTACCACAGTGGGATTAGAATGGAAGCTGGACCTACTTGTCAGTAAGGTATCTGGGGATGCCCAGTGCCACCACTTTCATGGAGAGCTCCAGAAGGAACACAGCCGTGAAGAAGTAGTTGAAGATCTTCAGGGCATACTCAAGTTCCTGAACGAGTCAAGGAAACAAAAATGGAAAAACTACTCTTTTAATACAGCGTCTGTACTAGCATGTGCATAGTGTTAGGAATCGTGATGCTCGCTCCAAAGTCAGCCGGAAAAATTGGCGCATGTACGTAATGAGCTCCAATTTTCACCAAATATGTATTTAGGGGTGCATTTCATTCTGTGAATACTCAAGGCGTAGCTCACTTCCCCAGAAAAATAAGACCAACACTCTTGGTATTGGTATTTTTTATTGAACTCTGTACAGGTAGTTCACTACAGAAGGTCGCTCGCCCATACCAAGCGGTTTGTGATTCCTCGCAAATTACGACTCTTGACATCTTCAACGGCGGACATCCGTGCAAGTGAGCGAGGTACCTAACAGTAGGAGCAATGGAAAGCATGGAGAGCTCTTATAAATTAATGGCGGACGCTTCCTGCGCAAATTGGGTGCGCGTGCACATGTGTGCGTTCTCGAGTGGCAAGGAGAATAACGGGCGGACAAGCTGAGCAAGACGGAAGATGCTTGCAAACGTTCGATGCTTTTCCCTCCGCGTCCCACCTTGTATGCAAACGCGGTCCCTAAAGTACGCGTCTTCAGTTGAGCAATTGGAAACACTCCTATCTAAAGGCTTTGCTTTTGACATCATGTTCCGATACACGCAGTAGCAGACGACGGCATCGTCTGTCTTCGATGCGACTTTCGAGAGATGGTGCCACAGGGACAACCCTCGGTTAGTGTTTTCATAGTAGGTGACAGGTTAAGAGTGTAGGACAAGCTCCTCTTGTAAAGACTTCCACTTCTTCCACTTAGGCAGAACGAACGGTGGAGGAGAGGCCAGTTAATTCGCTTCCTCTCCAGTGTTCATACTGTCAGTGGAATGAGTGGAGTGTTTTGTGGGACGATCTTGTCCTGCACGATTGACCCGCGACAGACTACTGCTCGATCGAGATCAGAGGTTTACGGGCCTCGTATGCAATACGAGGCCCATAAAGCGAGAGGGTCGATGGTCCGCAGGCGCTTCAAGCTTTGCTCAGACCCCCCTGTCTCCCATCATCCTCGTAGCGCGACGACACACGCAGCTGGCGCATGGGCAAGTAATATGCGCCGGAGGTGTCCACCATTAAATTTTAAACTCTCTCCTAGGTTCGAGTTGTTTTCTTCCATAAGTATGGGCTCTCAACCATCCGTTAGGTCGAGTATCTGCGTCGGCGTCCGCCGTTGCAGATGTCGCGGCTGTAATAATTCTTCACAGAAACGGAGCTACGCCTTGAAATTTTACGAGGTAAAATTTAGCACTAAAATACACCTTTGGTAAAAGGTTACGCTAGTTCCATAAAGGCGCCGAGTTTTTGTGCTAATTTTTCTGCAAGCCATGGAAAGAATATCGTTTTATACTTTCTCTGCGAGAAAATGAAAGGCGTGGATTTGGAATTGAGTGAAATTTGGCATTTTAGTAATATATCTGATGAACACAGACGAAAATGGAGTGGCACACCGTAAAGTTTATTTGTCGTAATATTATATATTTCGTAGATAAGTTAAAATATGGACCAAAGCATTGCTGAACTAATTGGCACAAACTTCATGTCAGTATCTATTCAGGCACCGTTGTTCAAATGTCTGGATAAGAATAGCAGCAGTCGAGCCTAATAATGAGTGGGGAGAAGTGCACGAACCCTGTAAAATATGTGAAACCTTTCCTTCAGTTTTTAGGTTGCAACAAACTGTAGAAGAACGAGTGCTAAGATATAAAGTGGTTTACGGACCGCGTTCAAAACATACATTAGATTTAACGAGAGAGATACCCATTATCAGCACCCGCTTCTCGGAGGAATCAATGGTCTCCCGTTATGGCAAAAATGACAGATTGCAGTCCCTACACCCATAAACTACACAACAATACTCATAACTATTGTATAGATACCATTGACATTTATGGTTTAGATAGTATAGGGTTTAAAAATAGGAAACCCGAACACTTTGGGCCCCCCGAGCAGCTTAGAATGTTGCAATGCGCCTGCGATGCTGCATGCTGCTTGGGGGACTCAAAGCGTTGGGAACTTCTTATTTTAAAGCTTTCTCATTAATCACTCCACTTACTTTTTTGACAATATAAACTTGGGAGCGTGTTGGTCTCTGGACAAATACGACAGAAAGAATAACACACTTAAGTCAAAGGGACGACGTTGCGTCTGTCAGCAAGCGCACCGTCAAGGTTTAGTATACTCGGGCGTGTTTGAGTTTGGGTTCGCTCCCTGTGACTCCCAATTGGGCTGTCATATATTTTTACATGTGCGGCATGTATGATCAATCGACGGAAACAATGTTTCATCTTGTGGTGTCACGTTTTGAGGCCACGTCATTCTTTTTAGGCGACTTTTGTTTTGGTACGCTCTTTCGCTGCTAAAGGATGGCGAATCTATCTCGTTCGATTTCTTGCGTTATGGCAAACAATGAGATGTAAAAATACAAAATTTACTCGGTATTCGGTGACTGCCAAAAGAAGGGAATTACAGTTTTGAATAAACAAAGACCGAGTAAGTCCACTCAAAAAAGAGTGACCTCGGGGTGCAAGGTCAACTTGTCACCGCATACTTCCGTGTCTCGAAAAGTACAATACCATGCAGACATCAACTCACGTTTTGCCCACAAAATAGTGCGTCCTTCATAAGTAAATATTCTTAATGCCCCACTCCCACATCTTTGGCAGGCGTTCAGTCTCTCGGTGCTCGTGAAGTAAGCACGAGTGATTGCAATCCTGCCAAAGATGCCCTCGCGTAGGGTGCCTTCATGTGCGCTTTTGACCATTTTGTCTCACACGGTTATTTTTCTTTTTTGTTCAGAAGCGCGTGAAAGAGCGTGTCCCTGCATGCGTTTGTGGCGCTGACTGTGCTATGGCGACATTTTGTTTTCGTCGATTTCTTTGTATTTTACCCGTGAACGCGTGCTGTCGGCATCGGGTACTAAAAAGGGTGGCATAACCCTAAACAGGACATTCAGGCACCCTACCCTCGCGTGCATGATGCTCGTGTTTGAACATAGCCTCCTTTATTCTACAAAGCCTGTCAAATCGCGAAAGACTGGTTTGAGGCTTGTCGCTACCGTTTGTTTCAATGTATTGCTCTAGTGGGACTCGGGCATAACAGAGCACGCTACAGTGTTGCTGAGACCAAAATATGCGTTCAGCATCCGAAAAAAAAAAAAAAAATCCCGGCACATTTAAGCAAAGCGGAGGAGTCGGCAACGGTTGTGGCGCTTTGGGATAGCTCTCTCACCAGAGGCATCCGGTAGAACTCCATGGCCATGGTGACAACGTTGAGGCCGATCACGGCGGCGATGGCAAGGTCAAAATATTTGCTTGTCACGATGTTGTGGGTGAACAGGCGGGGTTTGGAGTAGTTGGCATAGTAGGGGGGCTCCCGCATTTCTGCGAGGGCAAAGGAACCTTCATTACATTCCGCTTTACAACGGACGACCGAGAAACCGACGGAATGATGCGATAGAGCTAATCAAGCGACGGTAAATCTGCATCGTCATCGTCGTCTCCCTGCGTCTGCTATTACGAATCGCGCACACACAGGCACACAAAAAAAGCGCGGGATCACGGCTCACGTATTGTGTGTGATTGGTTTAGCCGGTGATAGCGAGCGCAGAAAGACGACGAGGGTCGTGACGATGAACGTTTAGCGCTGCTCTTCATCGGATCGTAGCGCCGTCTGCGTTCGGACTCGGTGAAGCGAAGCATCGTATTTCAAGAATGCTGCCAGTAATACTCCCGCGGAATAAACTACGTCAGAGTATGCGAAGCGCAAGTTCGTCTGCTTCTCTTTGCAGGGGTTTTGGTGACGTCAGAGTGCCGAGCTCTCACTGGTTCTGAATGAAGGATAGTGAGTAGATCTCGAGGCAGCTTTCTTTGAGGTCTACCCACTATTCTTCAATTAGATATGGTGATATTTAACGCCACATTTTGAAAATCTGTTGAAACTTTGAGTTGCTGGTGTTCTAGATGTGAACCGCGATACTGAAGAAAGTCTGGTGAAGTCTGAGAAAAATTCCACGCGACCCGGAAGAACCGAACGCGCTGCCGGTGCCGCTATAAGGTAGCCGGCACTCGGTGGCACTAGCCGCCGCTCAATGGTACTGTAAGGCCATAGAGTTTGCAGATTGAAGACGTCAGAGCGAAAAAAAAAAGTTTAAAGAAACGAAACCCGCTAGGAAGTACAGATAATGCTAGTGCTTCGGCCTGCGGATGGCATGCTGTACACCTTTAAGGTTGGGTCTTCGTTTTTTTATCAAAATGTATATGTTTTAAGTGCAAGATAGAGTATCTGTCCCTGAAAACCGAATCTGACAAAACTACATTTCGTTTTACCTCACTTCCGGATGCAGCTGACGCTACGAGCCAACCCAACCAACCCAGTTTTGTGTACGCAGTACGTGACTACGCTTTCTACGCATCCCGGCGCTTTCTCTCGAAAGTCACAGGAAACTCAAGCAGAAGAATGAGTTGAAGTACGCCATACTGTGTCCGAGAATCGGGCTTCGTCATTCGTGCGAGTTTTTAGGAAGCCAATGGCGGTGCGCAGCAGAAGAACGGGCCCATGGATGGAGTCGTAGGAGAGAGAGGACTCACTCCTGCGCTTCTTCTCCAGCTTGCGGGCCCTCTTTGCAGCACGCATGGCCCTCTCCTCCCGCTCCTGCTCCTCCCGGCAGCGGTGGAAGTTCTCCACCACCACGCCCACAAACATGTTGAGCACAAAGAAGGCCACCAGCAGCAGGAACGAGATGAAGTACAGCAGACGCCACTCGTTGTAGTTCTCCACGGGCTGCACACCGGTAATCATGGGTACGCTTGCTGAAGGCCCGAGGACGTTGTCACGCGGAGTGCATGTTATGCACGTATTACAAACGAGAGTGGGCGCGTATAGTCTTTGCCGTACAAGATGAATCCAAATGCGAGACTAGTATTTACAAGTGTCTGTTGTCGAAACTCCTCCTATTTCCACCACAGAATGTTTTTTTCTTATTTATGTCACCGATTGGAAAAAAATTATATGGAACTGGATACTTCTGAAAGCGGTACGTGTCAGGTTATTTCTAAGATATGTTGATAGCATTGTCTTTTTCCTAGTATAGACTAAATTTCCTTCACTGTATTTTGCCCACATCCGGTAGAACAGAATGCGCCAAATCAATCGGATCGACTAAAAGGTTAAAATGCGCGAACAAAACAGGACAAAAAAAGACACACGTACGACACGGACAGGCGCCAACGTCTAACTGGTTTAATGAAACACGAATCATCGTCAAACTGTCGATCCCAATCTTTTAACCTTTTAGTCGATATGAACCAACTAGCCCCAACCAAAGTTTTATTGCAATCGGATCGCGTGACGAGCATAGTAATGCTCGTCACGCGCACAATTAAAATATTATTTTATTATTTTTTAATTCTTTTTTATATTGTTATCCCCAATTCGAATTGTTACAGGAGCGATAATTGCGCAAAATATAACAAAAAAACAAAGCACCGACTTCTAAAAAAAAACAGACGTTCCCAACAAATTTACAAACAAAGCAATCCGTACTAATAAACTAGCGCAGTCAAACAACAAAAGCCAATTCAATTTATTTCTCGTGGCGTCCACACTGTGTATCCTGGCGCTCTGTTTGTATCTAGGAAACGTCCTTCTACATGAAGCAGAAGAGTTTCCAGGAAAGAGAGATCAAATGACCGTGGTGGAACTCTAGGTCGGCGAGAGAGACAGAGCACTGGTATCAAGCTTTCACAAAGCTTTCCAACGTGAGTTGCCTTGCATCTTCGTATTTATTTTACACGCTTACACCACTGAAAAACAGCTTAGTGATGCGGCACTGTCCGGCACGATTTTACAACTCCTCCAGTTGGTACACCTCGCATGGCATACAGTAGCCGCTGTCAAGATAAGAACGGCAGGGCGCATCCTTCGGACGGTTGGCCCCAGCACGTGTCGCCTTTTGTCGTGCCTTGACTGTGCGTACGCTCGAAGCTCACGAGAGGCCGAAGCATCATCGAAGGTAGGAAGCTCCCGCTGGAGGCCGGACGACTGGTACTGACCCCTGCCGTTCTCATCCGTTCAGTGACTATAGCGGAAATGTCTATTTGATTGGATATACAGATACTACTATTAATCGCCTCCTTCGTACCGCAATATCTTGTCTGCTGGGCAGGAGAAGACGTCTCAGAGCTTGTAAAACGTCACATTTGTCGAAGGCTACACGTACATCATATGAAATGCTATGCTCAATGTAACTTTTTTTTCTGCCACCTTTAGTACAGATGTAGTCCTCACTTTTAGTGTGCATGTATTTCGCTATTAAAAGCCCGTTGCGGGAAATATCTAACCTATTTTTATGGGGACGTGACGGTGTGAATCGGGACGTGAAATACCGACAGAGTAACAAGATATCAAACACGGGAAGGGGAAGAGTTCGCGGCACCCACCTGTATGCCTTCTCCGACGGCGTCAAGTCCAGAGTACATAATATTGACCCAGCCGTCTTTCGAAGACAGGACAAACAACGCCATCAGGGCCTGTAATTAGTTAATGAAACAATTTAATAGAATAGAAACCTTAAATGCAACACTTCTGGATCTCTTCTGCCATGAAATTCCGAATGGACGCAACCCCCACCCTCCCGCGCCGATACCAACCTCCAAAAGAGAAAGAAGGCAAAAACATGATGTGGGCGATTTCTTTACGATAGGCATAATTTTGCATTTTATCACATGGCAGCCCCTTTTTGCTAGAGTCCAACTCGATCAGGTCGTATCAGATTACGCAAGAATCTGTGTTACAAAGTCATCGATTTTAGACCAAAAATTTGTTTGTGAACGCTTAAAATCCATTCTTTGCGACCGCAATACTGCAGGAGTTTATCTGATCATAAAATGGCGCATCAGATACGGGCCCAGGAACTTCTCGCGATCATTGCCGAAAGACCACTTGAATTTTAGTTCCGTTGATGATATAAGCGTGTTGATTGCCTATAGCTGTCGTTCCATGATTCTATGTTTCTTTATCAAGAAAATGCCAGCCCTGACACGCTACAGAACTGTTTTTTTTAAACATGAATATGGGGTGTGTTGAGCTGCATATTCTAAAGTTTAGTAAAAAAAATTAAAAATCTAATTCCCTGGATTATTGGAGAAATATATTTATGCAAACAAAAACTCGGGCGGAAGTGAAAAACAAGTTTACATACTAAAACAGAAATTCTTTTGTCACATGAGTCGATAACTGAAGCGGCTTGTGAGTGAATTTGGAGATAGGTTTGACAATATAACGCTTAAAAAATCTGAGTAAATTTTGCAAGCTTGTCTTCTAAACTTAGTAAACCTTGTAAATTCGGGCAATATATTATTGTATCAACCAAATTACATCGTGACAAAAACCTACTTATCAAAATCTTGTTGAAAAATTTAATTACCCTAGTTCTTTTTCCTCTATTTTTAATTGTGGTAGAGGAACGTTGCCGAGTTTTACTAATTTTTCGAAAAAACATGAGAACACTCATGCCGCAGTTAGTATTTTGTACCTCTTTCTGACGTTCTATTGTGTTTGCCGAGGTCGTAGCTTGCGCCGCTGGCCAAGTTAGGCATAAACAAAGTATGGAAATGTAATCACATCTTCGACAGTTGAATAACGACATCAAAATAGAAATGAAAATTACAATACAAACTAATTTATTTGAGATAAACTAAGTTTAGTAAAGGCGTTGAATTTTCTTAATAAAAGTAACATGTTTTTTTATTTCTTGAGTGACGTTCACGAGCCTTCTTACAGACAAATCCCAGCACGTATGGCGCTAGCTATATTTTCATAATCGAATCTACACCTTTTGCTTTGTTTCCCTTGCTGTTCAGAACAAAACCTCCTAACATTAAACGGGCAACCATGGTCCCTCACCTAAATTTTAATGGCTTAGCTTGATATTAAACCGCAGTGAAAATATTTTGACTTTCAACTTCTGTGCCGTGTAAGAAAAAAAAAGAGATCCGTGAAACCGCGGCCTCGACAAGCGAAAGTTCTCACAGACGCGCGTTCACAAAAATCATTAACCAAACTCAACTACTGTTAACGTTCGTGCTACTTTGTAGGCCGCTATTAAAGGACAAATAACACTCCCGCTTCCCTTAGTGTCTTTCAAACAATTTGTTTTAACGAAAAGTATTAAGTTGCTAAAGCCACGCCGTGGAACCCCTGCTTCCTATGATACTGCGCAGATAACACGAATATGAAAAACATCCCAAAAGGCATGCGACTGAGCTCAGTCGAGGAGCAACGAAACATGTTCCTCTATTATCAGAAATACAAATGATTTGCAATGAAAAAGAAGGGTTCTTTAATACTATTTTCCTAAGAATAGCTGCCATCGCTATTAAATATACTTGACTCGCTCCCTCGGAAAAATGGGTGGAAAACAAAATTGCATCGTTCCAACATGTGTTGTGTGAACATTTTGATTCCTGCTTTTATGATACTATTAATAATAAAAAGAAACCTGCTTACGTGGTCAACTATCGTGTTGGCTTTTTAAAATTCTACAATTCATTTTTAGATAACAAACGGTTGCACCAATATTACCAAATCTGGACCATAAACATAATCATTCTCAAGGCTCAGCTATCCTAATGATTGTTCAAAGCTGCCACCGTTCCCGCTCACCTGGCCCAGATGGTCAAAGTTGTATTTCCGGTTTGTCCACATCATGCCCCGTTCTAGGCAGTCTTCCTTCGTGCGCACTCCTTTTACGTCGGGGCCTTCGCAGAAGTAAAAAGAGCCCTTGAAGAGCTGCAGCAGAGGCAAGGATACGGACAGAGTTTTAAGAACTTTTCATGCTTTGCCTGCACAAAAACGGAGCTATGAGCCGGTTCACATACAGATGGAGCAAATAAACAGGATTTCATTGTTCGTCTTTCATGAAAAAACCGTATGAACTCAATAATATGTTGTAGATAGCACAGAGAGAGCTACAAAAAGGGAGGTGTTAAAAGTGAGCCAAGTCTGCTAAATCTGAAGTGTATACCCTGAAAATAAACAGCAAGCTAAAAATTTCCAGGTTTTAAATGCTTTTTCGTACTATTTTATTACAAGAAACATTTTCAATAATATATTACCTTATTTTGCACACTTCAATATGTAAAACCTTAAACAAAAATAGGCTTTTAACCGAAAATAATTTTTGTTTGAGTGTGAATATTATGTCATAACTTAAAGCTTAAACCATATGGCGCTCTTAACTTTGTCAATTTGTTCTTTCAGCATTTTTCCAGGAGTAAAAACAGCTGAAACAGCCATCGATAAATAGCAGTAATTTTCTTTTTTATTATAATAGTCTCAGTGTTTTGGGTGTCGAAACGTATATCAAGCAGATTAAAAAAATTATGTTTTAAATGCCATTTTTTCCTTGCGCAAAGCTGCCTTGAGTTAGCCTCATCTACTGGAAGCACATCGGAAATACTAAGTTGTCCAGCATGGAAAGTGATCACATAAAATTTACACGTGTCTTTTATCATAATTGCCTATATTTCCGTGTTTTGTGATTATAACGCAGCTTATTTTTCTTTTTTTTTTGTAATTACGAGATAATCTGTATTTTGATGCTTATTATTACTCCTGTAAATAATATTTTTAACTCCAGAGCTCTGAACTGTACCTACCTTTGTATTACGCAAAGGTCCAGCTATCTTTCATTGCTGTTTTTATTGCGTCTTCAAAACACAAGCACTTTTTTCATTCACCCTGGATTCATAAATGGCAACTAAAATGGTCTATCACTATGGCTACGGAAGTTTTGCCATACAAGCCTATTACAAAAAGGAAACTTTAATTAATATTTTAGCAATTGAGAATATACGAACATTAAATTCGGGTTGATTTTACAGTTCTAAAGAAAGTTAACAAAATATATTCGAACATAAAGAACACGTTTTTACATACAGTTTAATCAGATAAGTGCTAGCGCAAATTGCGACCCATCGCGCGATGTGTAAAAGTAACAAGGACAGCACCATAAATCTATGTTTCTTGTTCATAGTCAAAGCGGTAGTTACCTGGACGCCAAGGATTCCGAAAATAATGAAAAACGTGCAGCAGATGAGGACAATGTTGCCGATGGGCCTCAGAGAGGACATGAGGGTTTGGACGACCAACTTGAGGCCGGGGGCGCGGTTGATAACCCTGGGCATGCAGAAAAAAAAATTAAGCAATTTTCCACTAAAATTTGAAAAACCGACACCCTTGGCGAATAGTGACACATGAAAAGTGCTCGGATCTTGAACTGGTATCAAGCACTTCGCAAAATATCCTGAAAACATGTTTTAACTCGATTGAAAATTCTCATTTGTATGAGAAATTTCTGTGTCCAATAAACACATATGAAGCATACAGGATATATAAGAACATATCAGAACCATATTACACCTATATAAGAACTATATAAGATGTATAAGAAAATACAAGCGCCGTATAACAAACTTCTCAGAAGTTTCTTATAAGTTTCTAATGTGGTAATATATTTTATATAGTTCTTATACAGTTCTTATATAGTTCTTATATGTTCTTATATATCTTGTATGATTCGTATGTGTTTATTGGACACGAGAAATTTCTCATACAAATGACTTTTTTTCTAGGGAGTTTGCGAGTCGTATATTAAACATATGCCTTTAGCATGTGCACTGCACGGCACCGTGAAGGCGAACATGACTATGACTTTCCCCGTTTTTCAAGTAGCGACTCACCTGAGGGGCCGTAGCGAGCGGAGCAACCTGAAGACACGAAGGATGCCAAAGATTCTCGGGCTTCCATCGGCAACGAAGGTGAGGAAAAAGTCGACGAGGGAGATGGTAACTAGCACTCCGTCCATCTTGTTCCAGCCGCTCTTGAAGTACGCCTTGTCCCCGTACCAGAGGCCCTTGGCGATCACCTGGACGCACAATGAAACATCTAGCTTCACAATGAACGGTCAGAAGGCAAATGGAGGCAAAAATGTACCGCAGAAGGCTGTCCCCAGAGCGCACGCCGTGCAGTCCAAGGACGCTGTCAGGGGTACTCACTTCCGTTGAAAACTATGCGGAGAGCAAGTCGTCTGCTTCTTGCGCAGGTGATGTGGTGACGTCAGAAAGACGCCCAGCTATGATTGGCTCTGACTGAAGGACAGTGGGTCGACCTCAAGGCAAGCTGCCTTGAGGTCTACCCACTATTCCTCATTCAGAACCAATCAGAGCTCGGAGTTTTAACGTCCCCACAACCTTCCTGCAAAAAGGCAGACAAACTTGCGCTCCGCATAAGGTCTCTTCGTGTCAGATAGTGCAATGATGGTCTGGGTAATACGTTATATATTTATGTAAAAACTATATGTGAATTCTTTGTGTTTAGGAGAGTCATTCAGCAGTATTTGAGCGCTGTAGCTAACTTTTTCTCGGAGATGTTAAATTTCGAGGTATGTAGTTTGCCAAGGATTCACAATCGCAGTTTGCACAGCCGTCAATGTCACACCAAAGCATGCACGTAGTAATAATTTGTATATTTATATTTTGATAAAGGTTTACAGCAAGTACACAAAATAAAAATTACAATAAAAATTTTAGATGTAAATAAGGCTATGAAACACGTGAGGTCAACACGTTAGAGAGACATTCACGAATCATTTACAGATAAACTACTGTATATAAAATGGCGCAAAAGGTATCAAAATAAGCATCCTTAAATGCATTTTCTGAACACATAAAAACTATATTCTTAGCCATTAATGTAGGTATGTTATTATATCAGAAACGCAACTGATGTCTCTAACTTGTGACAAAAATGCGCGTCAATATAAAAACAAAATCTATCTTTTATTTAGTTTGAACTCTCCTCAATCGTCTGCAGTATCTTGGGCTAACTTGTGATTACAAAACACTGAGCAATATATGACCTCCAAAAAAGAAACACGACAACAAACCTACACTCACATTGAACTGCTTCTCTTCGTTATAAAGGCCTAGTCGCACGAGGTCAGCTCCAAAGCGACATTTTTTTAGAACCGAGAAGGTCTCCTCTGCACAATGGTACTTCTCTATAGTAGGGTATAGAAAGTCATTCTTTCCCTAGTTTATTTCTATAGCTAAAGGTCCCTCCCACTTTCCCTTTTAAAACGCGTCCGAATTGAGTGTTTTTTCGGAGCGCTGTAAAATGCTGCGCATGACGCATCTTTTTGAGGGGGATGGGTTTAATTGTTTTCGATGGTGCCCGCTGTGTTTCTAATTGAAGTGATACACTAAAATCCATTAATTTCAAAGTAAATTACTACAAATATTTATCAACCCAATTATATCATACGCTTTTCTTTTCCTAAATTTGCACTTTTGCAGAGACCAATAATATACAACCCTTTTTTCTGTGCGATGCGTGTTTTTCACGGCAACGATTTGGCCCGTGTTTCGAAAAACACGCCTGTATACGTATAGACCGACACGCGGAGCTGCTCTGTTTACCAACACAGCCGGAAGGCCGCGCATGCGCGGTAGCTATGTGGGCAAAAGCAACCCGGCCCTCCGTGTTTTCGCCATTGCGTCGTGTGGCGTGCGCTCGTTGTTGACGTTGCAGGGACGCTTCTAGCTTTATTTGTGAGTCGTATTTCCTGGCAACGTATGTCGTATGCTATGCCCGACTATTTGAGCTCGCTACCCGAGCCTGAACGGTGGCGGTATCGAAACAAACTGTGCGTGGACGGCGTTGCCTACGAGGATTCGTACGCCGTAAACAAGGCCTGCTGAACTTCCGACGTAAAGTTGCTGCCACTGAAGTGGACGGCTCACGTCGTCATTTATTTAGTTTTTTCGCCAAGCCAGTTCACTGTGACACGGAGCAGGCGTACATGTCTTTCGAGGCCTACGATTACTTCGAGTTGGTTTCCGCACTGCCGGCGGGATCAGCAGACTGTGGGTCTGCGGAAGTGTATTTATTAATTAAATAAATACACACAGCGTCTTCAAGTTAAGATATGCTATTTTCCCTACTCTCATGACCACAAAGCAGGACAAACAGTAACGATTTTTCCGTTCTGCAGTCTTGGTGGTAACACGTTACAAGTAACGACGTTACCAGGAACGCGTTACTTTTTTTAGTAACGTAGTAACCTACTCGTTACTTTTTCGACACAGTAACGGGTAACGCACTTACGTTACTATTTCAAGTGACGTACTTATGTTACTCGTTACTACAATTACACTTCAAGTTTTTCCGTGTTTTTAGGCGTCAAGCCATGGTTTTCTTTGCGTTTTTTTCTCGGCAGTATTTAGGTGAAACCGTAAAAAGAGATAAAGTAATTATCTTCTTTTTCTGCATAAACATAATGTTTTTTTGATATATGAGCTTATGCATACCTGTATCGTCAAATAAAACGTGTTAAATCATAATTTAAAAAGTAACGCAAGCAACGTGCGTTACTTTTTATTGGTAGCGGTAACGCGTTCCTTTTATTTTTAGGCAACGTTGCTCAGTAACGCGTACCTTTGATTTGCAAGTAACAAGTAACGTATTTCGTTTTTTTTTTTTTTTTTTTTGGTAACGCCTACAACACTGTTGTTCTGTCGCCGATCCCCTTCTGCTGGGTAGCACGAGCGTAGCGAGCCTCCGACGAGCACTTGGCCGGTGCTTTGTGCGCGAACACCGTGGGAACAAAATCCGGGTGGTCTCGATCAGAGGACGGTTTCCCTGTACATAAGCAAGCCTTGGGACGGAGATTGAAATGGAAGCCGCACTTGCCTCCAAGAAAGTGCTTGCCGCACAAACGCGCGAGGCGACCATAATTTTCGATCCACGGATATTATCCACCTTCTATGCCTTTCAGAGTCTGCCGGGAACCTGTAGAAGCTCACTCCGCTACTTTTCTTGTAGATTTCGGTGAGATTAACGGCAACACAGCTTCGCGGCATGCTGAAATACTATGACGCCCATGCGAAACGTGCGCCCTTTTGCCCACACCCCTCGGCTCCGGCGCGATCGCAGCGCCGCCGCAGCGCCGTGACGTCAAGCCCGCGTGTCGGTCTATAGGTATATAGCTAAGTGCTTTTCTAAAATACATCCCTTTCATATCGTATATATTTTACATAAATATACAAAATATTGCCCGGACTATGATTGTATGAACTGTCATGGAAACAAAAAACGACAAAACCCTCGTAGTTATCAACTTCTATCTGTATTTCATTGTACTGTCCGCATCCATACTTAGAAATGGTAATCTGGCTTGTTAGCCGTCACAAAATGTTGAACACCAAGATGCCGGCTCTCCAGATACTACTTCCTGGTCTTGCTTTCGCGGTGACAGACCTTCTTTGTGTGCGGGTTTCACAGTAATGAGTTGTGCATACAGTTCTCAACTGTCGGCAGTAGCGTCATCCGCCGAGAGTCCCAGATTGCTGGGGAGGCTTTTATAAACACAAATCAACGGGCATATAATACTTAAAGTATCGCCATACAGTTCCTTTCCAATTTTTTTTTTGTAACAAATAATTAAAATATTTCATTGAATAAAAAAAAAAGTTGACAAGCAATAGACCCGTTCCAAAAGTCTATCGAGCGACACTGGTGGCCGCCATATTTTGGGCATCGTTCCCCGCACAAAGCGTTCGGTTAGTACCTAGTACGCGCCGAACGCTGGCGTATATCTCGTGTCCAATGCGTGCTCAAAGTGGATGCCCGAAATGTGTCAACCTCGGAGAAGCAACAGGAGGGCGTGCACTTTTGAATAAGGTCTGTTGCTCAACTTCAACAGGTCGGGGCTAGACAACCACGCCTAACTTATGGTCTACTCTCACGTTCCTCCAGAGAACGAACCCTTTCGGTTTGTTTTTTCGGAACCACCGATCTCAGCGTTAACGATTTGCCGCTCTCCACTCCCGGTTTTACGCTCCTCCTCCCGTGGACGAAGAATAGAACCTTTCCGAAATTCAGTGTTATCTCGTGGCCGAAATGGCGGTTTAACTTTTGCCATACTAATGGCGGCAATGAACCTGTAGCCCGCAGTATTTTATCGGGCACCGTCACTTTCGCAAGTCAACGGCAAACGAGAATGTGCTTTTCACTGTACAGTTCTTTCTCGATCATCTTTTTCAGTGTCGATGGCCACAAAGATGCAACCAGCCAGAACGAAGCGCCAACCCAAATGAAGGCCTTGATAAAGTTCTATACATCAAGAAGCTTTGAAGTCGATTCTGTGCTACTAACAGATTGACTGGGCCCGCGTTATAGGAATGTACGCTTACGCAGCTCCTGCATTCAATTCCTGCTTCGCATCGTGCTAACGTCTCGAATGTATAGGCCTCGAATCCTCAGCGTAGGAGTGTCTTCAACATGTTCCTTCATTAGTAAACAGAAGGCCGCCATAAGTACGGCACATATGGCATTTTTCAGAGAATGATGATAGTGATCCAAGTGTCCGGTTTGAATTTCGGAAAGGGTCTATTCAGAACTTTAAACCAGGTGAACCCCCGTCTCGCGGAAACGACGAGAAGGAGAGTAGCGACGAACCTATCACGTAGGTGCAGCAAAAACTGTCACGGCTTAGAGGACGGAACGAAAAACAGATGCAAGTTATTAAACGGACGAGGTCGGCGTTTCTTTTGGTGCACTCACTTTAACTAGCATCTCAAATGCAAATACGACGGTGAAGGTGTAGTTGGCGGCGATGAGCAGTTCCCTCTCCAGGCTCTTGGGTGGAATGTTGGGCCTCTCCATGGCCAGCGTGATGCAGTTGAGCGCGATGAACACCAGGACTGTGTAGTCGAACCACCTGCCGTCCGTCAGGCGGTTGCAGTAGATGCGCATCCTGAGGTGAGTGAGGTCGCGGCACTCAGAAGTACAAAATGGTCGATGACATGGTGGTCATAATCCTCAATGCAAGTAAACGAGGGTCAAATAAAGTACGTTAATGGCATTCAATGCAAGCGCATATCAAATGACACCTGTTTGATAGAGTTACTAACACTCTAAAAACTATGACACCCTTTCGGGTGTGAACGAGTTTATGGCAGGTCTAACACCGAAATGGTGTTACAGTAACACCCTTAGGGTGATGGTTTTCAGGACTGTGGTGCTGTTAACACCCTATTAGTAGGGAGCTGACGACCTTAGCAGCACTCTAGAGAGATTCCTAGCATTCCAGAGATACGTTTACGAGCAACTCGCAGCGTATACTAAGTCATCACATGTACAAGAACAATAAATACAGATTCAAAGAAGCACGCATCAGACCAGAATCGGAAGCCGGTCGACTATTTCAACGCCTTATGCACTGGAAAACGTAAAGACACAATTCGCAGGTGGTCACGAAGGTTACAAGAATGTTGATTTGGTTTCGTCAGTATTTCAGATAAGACGTAATATCTCTAAGTCTAAAGAAGGTATCTTTACAAGTAAAAATATTAGTGGGAACAACAGTTACTTGATGTGTTCACGAACCAAACATTCACTAAAACCATCTGAAGCGGATGTAAGGTTGCTTCATAGTACACAATATTATTGCAATGGACGACCACAGGAAGAAGGAGTCGACAGGACAACGCGCCCTGTCCTGTCTACTTCTTCCTGTTTTCGTCCATCGCGCTAATTTTGTGTACTATGTTTAACAACCGAGGCCATCAAATTATTTTGTGAAGGTTGCGTGGCCGCACTGTATCGCAGCACCCTTTTCAGAATTTGGTTTTACACTCTTAAAAAAAAAGTTTCCCACCAAAAAAGACTTCTTTTTACGATTACTAAAAAAGTGTATTATTCGAAATAAGGGTGCTGAAAGGATGTAGCCATATCCCTTGGACAGATTTTCACTTCGTTAAAACTGTGAAGCAAATTTAACGTGAACACTTGAAGTAGCAACCTCAGGTACCACAATCCTCTTTGTTAAAACGTTCGCCTCGCACGGTCGCACGTGACACGAAGCGCATGCGGAGATGAGTTGTGTAAATATGTGCGAGCCAGTAATGCTCCGAAGCAGCACTCACTTGCTTTCCGGTGGGAAGATGAATAGCGAGTGGTTGTCCCGGTTCTCGAAGCACCACCTCCACCACTGAGGTTCGAAGAACCAGCATAACTGAAAGCAAGAGAGACACAGCGATTATCGTTCAGCTTCTCAACCACGTCACATACATGACTCTGGCACTGCACAATATTTTACTGTATGCCATTTTATTGGATTGCAAGGCGCCTGGTGTTGACATTTCTAGATTTGATTCCCATAAAAATGGCAGCCTTGTGCAACGACCTGACAGTTCCGAGTTAATTTCCTCATGTTGTTAACCGCAGATTGTACCAACAAGGACTCAAGAAAAGGCGAGTGAATATAAGGCAGATCTTTTTTTTTTTTTTTGGTATGTTTTTAGTTATGCTGTCGATGCATTGTGAAATCGACCCGTCACACAACACCTTAGCCCTCGACCACCTTGTGAATTGCAAAACGTTTGCCAGTGCAAAACTTATGGTAGTCAAACTTAATTTCAGAAAGGGGCTATCAACGTTAAACAATAAAAGAAAAATGGACATTCTAAGACGTGTACTGGCCATTGAAGAGGTGTGTTGGTGAAAAAGCTTAAATGTTTTTCAGCTTTTGACTAAAGATATTATAAGGGCAACTGTCTTGTTTGACTTGCTTTACTTCTGTATTAATTAACGGTTTCTCTTTTAAATATCGCAATATTCAATTTATTTTCATAAACGTCATTATATAGTCTCTGGCAATATATAGATCTCCGTAGGAAGCTTCGCTTTCAGCAGGCGATCGTTGACTTCTGTCATATTTGACTGAGTGGGCCGAAGTGGTCATCGAAAGTAGAAAAAAGGTCGCCCCGGAGACGAAGCTTAGACTGCAGGTTCTCTTAGGTGGGCCATCGACGAGAACGTCGGCGAGATTGCCTACCGGGGCGATTCGCCAGAGCCAGGATTTATCGCGGCGCTGATTAATCTGGGCGTTCGGCGATCTCGCCGACTTTCCTATGGAAGGTCCAACTAAAAGTCCTTTAGTCGGAACAGCGCTCCGGCCAGAACTTTATGCTTGAAAGCACGTGCAGTCTACGCGTGCAGGCAACGTTACTACATCAAAGCCAATTGACAAGTTTCTTAGAACACGTGGCGTCTTTCGTGGTACGTGCGCTTGGTGGCGCTCGCTACGCTATAAGCCAATGAACAGAAGCGGCGGAACCGTTGGTACGGTGGATACATATTGCCTGCGGATGGAAGTGATTCTATCGTGGTCTCTATGGTAAACATGAAGTTTGCGCAAACGTTTGAGGAAAAAAGCGTCATTCGAAAGCGGTCCTTCTCCATTGCCAGTGGAGGCTTGGCCGCTGGTGGCGCTAGGAACCCTATCTGCCCGAACCCTCTCGCCTGCAGGCAAATCAGAAGAACCGTTTTCGAACAACGCTCTTTCGAAGAGCATGTCGACCGATAGATCTAAAAGCGTCGCATGAAGGTAGCTTCACCAGGCCCGAAGTTGCACATGCTTGCTCACGTGAGTGGGGACGGCGACCAGCAACGCCTGCTAGACAAGGCCAAAGGGATTTTTTACATCAGCAACGGTAAGCCAGATTGGACTTGCGCGTACGGTTGGCTGGGAGTCGAGTCCCCCACTGATTTAACTCCCAGTCAAACGCTGACAGAGCACTATTTTCTATGGCCTGCGCTGTCCTATATTCGATAACGTAATAGCCCAGCGCAATGACCTTTTTCTCTAGAAGGCTCAAAGAAGACATACTTGCAATGGTGTATAGACCAGCGGGCCTGAGCCGTAAGGCACCGGTTTCACAGGAACCGTCTTGAAAATGTACAAAACTGTTTTTAATTTTATAAAATAAATATAAAAATACATACTCAAAAGTAACCTTACTAACATATTTCCTATACTCCTGGGCATGCTAGAGCAAGCTGTTATAGTTGTACGTTAATTTGTTAATTAGACAATAACGGAGTAAATATTCCCACGGGCTTGTTTTTTCTTCTTCAAAGTGTATGTAAATAAAGTGATAATTCTATAACAGGTATTCAGTATGATAAGAAAAAAAAAAGCTGGCGTATATATTTAAACAAATAAATTTAAAACAAATAAGTCTAAAACAAAAAATAATATTAAAGTCAAATCATGATCCATTCTACTCCGTAAAGGTGGATGATCAGCAAAACTAAAACACGAAATCGCAAATACTATGGTTGTGCTTCTGGAAAAAAATACGTGGACAGGGAGGTGTACACGACGTTTCGGGCGGACGCAAGAAACTTCGTGTGAGACCCGCCCCGAGGAGCCGGCGGAAAGTAGACACGCGCGACGGGACCGCCACCCCGCGGAAGGAAAAGAAACTAGGCGCGCAGGCGCTTGGAACGACGACAAAGAGAGGGCGGTGCGAGCGTAGACATGACCGACTTGGGTCGCACAGAGGCAAATCTTTAATAAACCTTTAATATCTACCTGAGAGTCTACTAATATTGAAAATAGTGCCTATCGATAACTAATCTACTGAAAATGTATATCGAAATGATGAGACGTATAAGCTTTTGAATAGAATGAAGCGATTTTGTATCGAATTCGGAACCTGAGTTTTTGTTGATGCACACGAAAAATTCACGGAACCCTAGCCCCCCCGTAAACAGCTTCACTGTAAAAGCCTTCTTCCACTTTTTTATTATAATGCTAAGTATCCTGTGTAAGATTGTCACCCTGTAACATTAATAATAAAAAAAGAAGCGCGTGGCAATATTTACTCGTAAATTGCGTAAGTAAATAATAAGCCAATGACTTTGATAGTTTGCCGTATAGACACTAAGTAACACGGGGAATATGTTAGCATAGGAGTTTTTGAGAACGTATCTTTAGATTTCTTGGAATACATGAAAAGGCAGTATTACCTTTGGCACGTGCACTGCCCTGTCTCCGAGCGCGAGCGCTGCGGCGGCTGCTGCCGCGTTTTCCACCTTGACGTGGAGGACGCTGCCCTCGACGTTAATCTTCTTGCCGGGCTTGGTCACGAGCGAGTTATGCCTGGTCTCCACGTAGCCCAGGCCGGAACTGCTCAGCGAGTTGTGTCGACTGACGATGACACTGCCACCACCTGCGACGCGCAGCGGTTCGGGTTAAACGCTGAAGCACGTTCTCTAATGAAACATCAATCGATGAAAACTTCATCACGCGTGAGGACAAACACATTGTTTATTGGGCTGAGAAAGATGAGCGCAGCGAGAGAGACACAGAGCTTGTCGGATACTCTTTAAGAGTTAGCTCTTGCTACCCGGTTTTTTCTGCGCATGTTCATGTTAGGGGCAAGGTAGCTTTTGAGATTTAGGGTTAATCTACGCACATCTTCTAAGAAAAACAAAAAGAAATAACAAAAAAAAACTCCAAATTAAATTGGTGTGCGTCCGATTTCCTTATTTAAAAAGGGACCAAAGATCCCGATACGCCCGTTTTTCTGTGATTCGGCGAAGAAACCAGAGGGCCCCGTCGGACGTGTGACAACAGAGCCGTTCACACTGAGAGAGTTTGGCCAATGGGCGGAGCGTGTTGCCCGCTAGAACTAGCGAATTTCGGAATAACACAAAAGGGCGTTACTTTCTTTGTCTCGTTTATTCCCGAGAAATCGCATAGACTTCCTATGAGTCAGAGCCACAAAATGGCGGACGGAAGTAGTCATCCCACGTTTGTCAGACTACGGTGCTGCCTTTGCGAGGCTGTCGAAATCTCCTTATCAAGGCCAAACTTCCTCAGTATAAACGGCTCTGTGCGACAACCTTGAGAGCCCAGATTGAAGAGAGGGTTTACCTCAAATTGTGGGGAGCCTTTTCAATGTAATGACGGACCCCTTCTGCGAAGATTAATCGCAACTGCGCATGCGCTGCGCTTTCGCGTGGCGAAGAGGAAAGCCGGCGGAAAAGCGGAGACGCCCGCAGCCGATAAACGCTTCCAGCGTTTATCGTCTGCAAGCTTGCAAACACAGCCCGTAAACCACGTGACCCGAATCGAGCAGTGGGGACTCTCCGCAACAAGGCCGGTTCACGCTGTACCGTTTCCTTACGTTGCGTAATGTTACGGGAGTTTACGTCTGCTTACGTTGAGAATCACCGGGACATCCGTGCCTTTTGCGAAGCGCCGCAATCAATTCAAGAAGCAGGTTTGCACTCGATATTCGAAGCATGGATGTGCCGGTGACTCGTAAGGTAAGAAACCGTAAGCAGACGCAGTTGTGTTAATGGGTCCATGTAGGCTACCTACGAGAACCAATCGCGAGTGATCACTTCTCGCGCGGCCAAATTGCCGACCAACGACGGACTGGCATTTTAATGTGTGCGCGGTTCGCGCTTTGTACAAATTTGTTATCGAGACAGAAATGAAGCTATGCAGTAAAGAACACGTTCTTGTTAGCCATTAATGCACATCAGTCCTAGTGTTTATTGAACGGAAGTTTCTAGACTGCCATTCGCATGGTAAAGTTTAGACTGCTACCTGAGGCACTCAAGGGCAATTAATTTCGAAAAGGGTCTTATCTTACCTAAGGGTAGACTTTTCAAAAGCACTATATTACACCATTACAATATTCACAAGTCCTCAGCCCATCGTGCGGTCTCCTCAGCCCAGCACGAGCACGAGCTTCGAAAAACGGGCAATTGACGCGCCATACGCTCGAACACTGAAAATGAAAGCGGCCAAGAGCCCTTTCTCGGAAAGGTCTGTAGAACTATAGACCTATAGAACTATAGACTTTGTAAATGATGGGATGATGTGTATACCTTTCCATAAAAGCTTATGGGGTCGCGTTGATTCCTGCGTTTCTGTGTTACGCACGAGCACTTTCTGGCTGGCCACAATTGCGAGCGAGCCAGAGTAGCGATGTGGGCGAGTTGGTTCATGCTTAGAAATAATGGAAACAGCGCGCAAACGACAAGGACGGGAGGAAAAGGAGTACACAGGACCAGCGCTCGTCCTGTGTACTCCTTTTCCTCCCGTCCTTGTCGTTTGCGCGCTGTTTCCATTATTTCTATGCGAGCGAGCGCTGGCTGGACTGTGATTTATGTAAACAGTGCAAAATAAAACGCTCCTAGCCGCCTCCAGGTTACTGATGACGATGCAGCTGGTGCGGCTGTCGCGCCCCCTTTCAGCTAGAATTTTTTTGCTATACTCCGCGACAACTTTTCTTGGCAATGCAGTGGAAGGTATGTCCCGCGTCCCCTCTCCCATTTTGAGTGTCCGCAGGCTCTCCTCCTCCCCCTTTCCCGGGAAGAGGAGGAAAGCCTGCGTACACTCAAAATGGGAGAGGGGACGCGGGACATACCTTCCACTGCATTGCCAAGAAAAGTTGTCGCGGAGTATAGTAAGTAATCCGAGTCCTTCTCAGTCATTTCCAAAAATAGTCGCCAAAACTTGCCCCAAAACGAAGTCCTCCTGGATTCCTTCCGATCGTCGAGATGTGACTGTCGTCAACACTGGGGTGCTGTGTTATTTGAGATCTTTCTCAAACAAATCCTTTTTGTATAACGCTGCACCGTTTGGTACATACAACATATCGTTCGAATATTAACACTCGTTAAATTGTATGTCTGAGTCCTGTCCATCGGTAAACACGTTATTTGAGCGTGTGAAATATGCATTCCTTTCGGCTATCTCCTGTTGTAAATTATTTTCGAGAGCTAAGCGCTTTGTCGTTTGACACGCGGCTGAGCGGGCGGCGCCGTCGAAACGTATCGTAAAAAACAAAACAAGAAATAACTTTCCGGTCGCATTGGCTCTGTCGCGCGCGTACCCAACGAAGATAACAACAAAAATCGTCTTTAATTGGCACCTAGGATAACGAATATCAAAATCACATATTTCAGATTGATGCGTCAAGTAGCCGCAACAGCACTTACAAAAGCGCGCTGAAGCCCCTCCCTCCGGCGCGTTCGTTGGAAGGATAAAATCATGACGTGTTATACGGAGATCTTAGCATTTCCGGGCCTTCCGCAAGCCTTACCCGAGCACTCAAAAACGATGAACGAGTTCCCTCACAAGCGGCAAGCTCAAGGCAGTTGACAACTTTGGCTAGGACGCCACACCCAGTGGTTGGTTTCTTAGAGCGCAGCTCTTAGGCGCTCGTTTCCGGCTTGAGCGGTGTCGCAGTCGGTGTCGGTGTCGGCGTCGGCGTAACCGCGCGGTGCATCATGGGTAAATTTCCCCGCTAAATTTAGCAAAAAAGTTTCCAGCTAAATTTAGCGGAAAAAGGTTCCCGCTAGACTTAGCAGAAAATTTCCCGCTAAGTTTAGCAAAAAAATTTTCCCGCTAAATTTAGCGGGAAACATTTTCGGTAAATTTAGCGGAAAAAATACCCCGCTAAATTTAGCAGAAAAAATTTCCCACTAAATTTACCGAAAAAATGTTTCCGCTAAACTTAGCAGAAAAAATTCCCCGCTAAATTTAGCAGAATTTTCATTTACATGGGAGGCGAGCAGGAGAGGAGGAGGGGCATAGCCTCCTTTTCGTACTATCCGCTCCTCCGCCTCAAGGGCTGCGCTCTAATTCGGCGTTACAGGGGATTGTAAACGTCCTTCATTTTTTTAGTTTTTTCACGTGAGAAAAATACGTTAGCATTTACCTCTAACTCGTTTTTTTTTCAAAAACATCTTCAGTTTCCCTTTAGGTTAACAGACGACGCTACGACATAATCGGACCAATCAAACAGTGTCTAAAGCGCACCGTCATAGTGTTCGTCCTGTTCCTGTACGTGTTCCATCATCGCTGAATCAATCATTAACAAAAAGACCCCGTGACTTGCGCTTTTGACATTGGTCCCATTAGCTCGCAGCGTCGGCTTCGCCTGGCCTTACGCTGAAACAAAGTGTAGTCTAAAGTGGGGCATGACTTTAAACCTTGACGTACCGCTGTGTTGACTCTGCAGTGAGTTCTGCCGACTCAGGGGTGTATATGACGTCATCATGCGACCGGCGTCACCCCCGGCAAAAGTTGGCGACTGCGGGTAGCTCGGTTCCTGCTTCTCCTCCGCGCAGGTGGCAGTGGCGTTGTTCTGCTTGGGCAGGACGTTTGGCCGCTTGTGGTGATTGTTAACCCTGTGGTGATGATGATGGTGATGGTGATGATGGTGATGGTGGTGTTGGTGAGGCTGGCTGTTGTTGTTGTTGTTGAAAGTCGTTTCGTTCTGTCTAGAGTTGTTGAGGTTCGGCAGCATTCCGCCGTTGCAATGACTGTGGTCAGAGGCTGAGGCACTTGGGCCGCTGCAAAATAAAAGAAAGAAAAAAAAGATCAGTTTCACTTTTCGGATAAAAAAATTTGGACAAATAATAATAAGTAAGATAGCTGAATATTCATGATCGCAAACTGTAGGGGAGCGAGTGAGCAAAAAACTGCGCTCCTTTAATGTCTCAGACATGACTCAGCTTTTGTATTGCACCAGCTTTATTTGTTCCTCTCTGCCTCATCAGCCCGATCACCCGGGGCCAGCTTTCTGATCTATGCGAGCACCTCTCCTGGCAGCTAACTCACTCGCAAAAGAGATTTCTAGTCTTGTGCAAAAAGTGAATTTGGAGTTCGAAGCGAATAGCGGTTTTGGCCGATTATTTACGATTCGAATATTGAATAGTTTTCCCACACATTTTGTACCATAGCATAATGCTTAGACGAAAACCCAGCTAAACTCGTAAAGGTTGTTCCACTTGTTCATTTATAAGCTAAGTTTAATCATCTATATTTATGAACTGTGACCTCAGAAGTGAAAACAGCGCAAAAATTCGACAAAGGACGAGTGAAAGAAGTGCACGGACAAAGAGCTGAACGAACAGTGCTTTGTCGGTGTACTTCTTTCATTCGTCCTTTGTAAAATGTTTGCGTTGTTTTCACGTTTGAAGCTGTTCAACCAACTCACCCAACTCTTACCGCCTTGTTGACCTCAGAAGGTCTGATGGCTTGGGATGACAAGTAAAAGACGGATTTGACATAAAATGAATCCCATAGAGATGGCGAACTATACCCAATTGAGTGAATTTATAGATCTTGCAATATGAAACATTCTGTCTTTAATCTCGAGTTAAAAAGAAAGAGTTGTGCGTGGTGAACGCAGGTTGCAAGGGAATCTCTGCCTAACAGATATTCTTGCATAACAGACAGTTTAATTTTGAAACTTTTACTACAATGCAGATATACACATTCACAAAGTTTTCATATTAATTCAAACACAGCCGGCACGCGTGCACCGTCCCGCTTTGAATGTATGCCTTTCTTTGAAGCACGCTATAGGAACCGTGCGGATCTAATTCAAGCCCCGACCAGGGCGCCCCTAGCGGCAAACGGGTCCGTTGCATCGGGCATCTTCTGCCAGTCGCTGCGTTGGTTGTGCGTTGTAGTGGGTTAGCGCTGTAATTTCTGAGATGGCTATTCCGCACCAAGAAAGCCGCAACAATTGCTGCGTGGTCGGCAAGATCGCGCACGGCATGAAGTGATATCGTCCCTTCGAAGCCGTACGAGGCGGAGTACTGCGCGACCTGGCTACGACTTGTGCGGCTATACAGGTAAATGGTGTTTCTTACCTTCCAGTTCGCGCTTTGTTTAAGCTGCTGACGAATAATACAATTAACTTTTTTCTCTTCTAGCGACGATGGAGCAGTATCGACACCGACGGCAAACTCTAAAGTATGCAGCAAATACTTCACCGGAATCTAGAAGCGGAATGCGGTCGCCCTCCTAAGCCTACCGTTAGATGCTTCCATCAGCCTACAGGAAGATAGTAAAGAGAATCGCGGAACGGCGCGAAAAAAAAAATCGCCCAGTTATTGTCAAGCTGATTCAGAAATAAACGTACATAATTACCGCAGTCCACTCAACGCCAACAAAAATATTTTGTGGGTGCGCTTAATGTTGTTTGCAGAGTACGGCGCTCCGTGACATCCACTTGTCCGTCGAAACGGACCTCCTTCACGTCGTACACGCGGCCAGATTCATGAAACAGTTTTCTCTCCGTCATATTGGCACCACGGAAGAAGCTTTCTGGATTCATAACCGCCTTAAACCCCGTCGTTATCACCCCGGGAACACTGTCCGCTGTGCTGCTAATCGCCACTGCTTCCCCCCGATGATTCTGCACCGGCTACCGAAGAAGCTTTCCGGATTCTTAGTCGCCCACTGTCCTCTGTGCTGTTCGTTGCTATTACTTCGCGATGATTCTGAGCCGGCGGCACCGACTTCCGAAGGAACTTTCCGAACTCGTAACTGCCTTAAATTCCGTCGTAATCACGACGGGGACACTGTCCGCCGTGCTGTTCGTCGCCATTGCTGCCCGATGCTCCTGCGGCGGCTACCGACATGTAGAGGTGGTCGCCTTTATTTATTACTTTTTTCTTGACCGACAGGACGGCATACCCCGCTCTGTTTTGTTTAGCCGCCTGACGGCACTTCGGTCGGGAGTGGGGAGGCGCTTTGGAAGTCGAGTGTCGCGTTTCAAGGGGTCCCGTGCCTTTACAAGTTGGAATTCTGCTTGTTTATGAGCTTTTCCCGGTATCGGGGAAATGGCCGCGGGCATTTCATGCGGAACCCCGGTTTTCGAACCCACGTGAAAACACTTAACTTGCCGACGAGAGGCTGCTGTCTCGGCGCCGCGTGCGTCTACCCATTGACCCTGAGACGCGAAGCCAGACGTAAGGGTTTGCCCGGGGAACCCACGGCCGAGACATTAACACGTCACCGGTCGCCAGGTCGTTTGCTGGGAAACAAAGTGCTTTAGAGCTCTTGAAGTCGTGTCTCGGAACTCTTCCGTGACGCCCGGGAACCAGGAGCTCCCTATATATTTTGCATATGCCTGGCGGTGGCCTTTTGCGGTGGCATTGACGTGCCCCAGCCGACATGTCTCGATGGTTCTTGCCGTCCGCGAATGTGTATCCTCCGTGGCCAGATAGGAAAGCCATAAGTCTTATTTTATCCTCGGCTTCTGAGAACCAAGGCTCGGCTTATGGTTCACTCCCGGAGCAATGACCTCTCGCCCGATTGGTCGAAAGTGCGCTGTGTGTAGGCGTTGTAGTTTGGTTCCTCTGGCCAATGGGACCAGGGTCGAACCCTGATTGGCCTACGCAGGTTCGAGCACGCTGCTTTAGACCCTGGTCGGACAGGGGAATCTTTGAGTTTTGGAACGGGCTCGTGAGCGACCCCACTGACGTTCAGCTCCCGCGGTGCGCCGCGTTACCTGTCGTGCGCGACAGCGTCTTCGTCTTCGCGTCTACAAGGTAGTCGCCGTCCTTACCGTGCGCGGTAGGGCCATCCGACGCCGAGGCGTCTGTGCAGTCTGTAAGCCGTGCGCGGCAGTTTATTACAGTTCCCACTTGCATTTTATGTAACTGTGTGATTCTTTTTTTTTTATCGAAGTAAAGTTTCGTTCATCTCGTTAACCCTCCGAGTTGTCGGTCGCCTCTGCATCACCACCAACGCATCCAGCCCTCCAGCAACTACCTTCATCCACGATCCCCCGGTCCTCGACGGCAACTTCAAGGTGGTCCATCGAGGTCGGGGAAAACAACCTATCATAACATCTACTCGCCAGGTCGCGGCGAACAATAGGCGACCGCCGCGACACGGCCGGCTTGCTCGCTTTCTATTGCGATATTCATACTTTCCCAAGTGTTCATCGCGGCGGGTTACCCCGTTGAGTGCGCTTCTTATCGAGCACCGATGTAATGCAGAGAAGCAACAACTGCGAAGCTCGTTTTCTCGGGTATTGCTTTTTCGCAGTGCACCCTTGCTCGGAAAGAAGCGCACTCAACGGGGCTAACGCGCTGCAATCAACACTCCGAAAAACGCGAAAAGTGCAAAGCTTCTCGAAGCGAATACCGAATAGTGTATTATTGAAAACTACTATCAGAAATTTTGAATATTCGAAAAACCGTAGAAATCACTCGATTACGAGACCAGCTACGCCGAGAATAAGTACTATCTAGCGTTTCAACCGACTTCTCTTAGGAGACGCAATCTTTAATTCTTGACAAACTAAACCTCCCCAATAAATAAAAAGGCACCGCTTCGAAATTACACTAATGCTGTTCGTTTCAATTAAAAATCAAGCCCCTTGACTCTTTTTCTGCATGCGGAATCTGACTTTAATACCGATTGCAAGGACGGAATTACGGCAGCCATTTGCGTACAGTTATAGCTACCCGTAGTTTCTTGTCCTTAAAGAGCCGGTCACGTGACCTCAAAGTACCTTTTGTGGGTGAGTTAACCACACACAGAGATAGTCGCGTTTCTCGGCAGACCAAAATAGGCCTCTGTGCGTCGTCGATGTCGTGCTACTCCTTGTATTTAAGGGGATTTTTATGTATTCAAAGTACCCACTGCCAGAGTTGAGCTAACATGTTACTGCTACTTTGTCGCGGTGCTCTTCCTCAAGTAAATGAGTGGCCACGGTTTCGCGCCGAAAAGTAGCTCTTGCCGCTTTGTTCTTAAAAGTTCATGGGAACGTTTACTGTTTAATGTTCCATGCGACAGCGACGCAAGCACACTCAGAATACTGCTTATACTGTTTGGTAAAAGCGGGTGCGCAAGCCCGACGTTGTCAACGTTGCTACCTTCTTTTAGTGATGCATCAAAATCTGCAGTTCTTACGAACCATTTACTCTCTATAATAGCTTAAATACAGTATTTCATCGGGCGTTTTGATAATGTTAATTTGGTGTAGCCTCCTTCCTTGTAATGAAGAAATGAGGCCTGACACAAAAGCGCGCGGCCTTTGGGATTTTGGCAACTCAGTTTGAGTTGATGAGAGATGAAAGTCACTGCATTGTATTGGACTGTATTATTGCATTCAATCGAGCTGCACCGATACCAGCTAGAATAATCAAGGTGTGCGAGCAACCCCTTCTTCCTCCATGGAACGCGAGGCATCGATTGGACATGAGGTAGAGCCGAAAGCTGTCGCAGCGCCCGTGATCAATCTGTCTTTTCTACTGTGGTAAGGTCAAAATTCTAGTATCTGGATAGGTGGATGCTAACGGATGTGCTTTTCATAAAGGTGGTAGCTCGCGCCACCTAGCCTAGAAATTAAAAACTAAAAATATGATTCCTCCCTTCGCTCTTCAAGCCAATTTGCTTCCCCTCTGCAATTCTGTAACTGTCGCCAGGCGGTGGGGGAAATCACCAGGACGACCTTCGGGGGATCTTCGATTCTTCTCGGTGGTGTAGTCTAGACAGCCGTCAAGACCCAAACAGCGACTCACCTCTGACCGGCGGTCACGTTGTTGAGCGGTGCTGGGCTCAGCTCCCGGTATCCGTCCAGGAGCGAGTCGTTGTCGGAGTCGGTCCGCAGCGCCGCGCTGCCAGAGCTGGCCCCGCTTCCCTGGCGGTGGAGTTTGATTAGGGGGCTTCCGGGGGGCGTCGGAGGGGAACCCTGATGGGACGGGAGGAGGGACACACGCACCAAAGGCCAGGGCCTCCGTTCAGTAGGGCCTCTGCTCGGCCGGATAGGGTTGCTGCTCGGCGCCAGGACCGCGTCCGGCCATTCGCCGAAGGCGTCCGTCCCTCCCGAGTAGGGTAATAGTGGGGAAATGGGAAAGGGCAAGGAGCCGAACAGCCTACGCTTCGTTTTCCCACAAGTCAGAGCGCGGCCAACGGCTATACTGACTGTAAGTCCGGCCAGAGAGGACGCTAAAATCCGATCGAGTCAATTAAGTATTGCCAAAACCGCTTCGTCACTGCGCTAGTTGTCTTTGTGGATTGGCTATCACGCACACGCACACAAAAAACACGCAAAAAAACAGGATATATCTCCTTAAGTGTGTATGATTTGGTCAGTCGATGACTTTTGGCACCGCTTGATTGAACCCGTTGGCTCTTAGCATCTATTGCGCTCTGACTTATGGTAGAACGACGTATAGAGAACAAGGCCGTAATCGTGGATTCTTGACGTCACCAAACGAAGGCCAGTGCGACTCGTACGCATTACGTGAGGGTGTACTATGAAATCAAAATAACGTCGAATGCGTTATTTTGATTTTGCAATAAATTAATTATATTACGTAACGCGCTACCTCTCGACGGAAAATAAGAGGATCACCGATGAAAAACAGTGATTCAGGGTAGGTGGTTTCTCGCGTGAAACGTATCGGGGAAACAAAAGGGCTGGTAAAAACTGTGATTTTTTGGGAGAGCAATTCAAAGGCTAACCGTGGTTGATGATCTATGCAAATTACGCTGCATAACCCGGTTAAAAAGATGCGATACATATGACCTGACATATAATATTTTAGAGCAAATGGGGCCAGGACACGGTGTACATGTCGCCACATATGTATAAACATGTGAGGGCGGAAATGGAGGCATATACTTTAGCCTCTATTTGGCGGACCCAGATATGTACATTTTAACATCGGGAAGATATTGCGGACACATGCAGTCTAATTGAGATTATTGCAACATCTCTGATATCTGCTATTTTCCTAGGCTGAGTCGAGAACGATAAGAATCCGAACTGGAAGAGAAAGGAGCGAAAAGACAAAAGGCAACGTTTAAGAAAAGGGTAAGTCTACACCAGCTCGCCCGCACCATCGCTCTTATACCTGTCTAATTTTAGCATATATCTGTATCTGGTATATTTCTACGTGTTCAGATACTGCCTTTCTGTAAGGCTGAACACAGATAGGTCACGGGGGCTGCGTGATCGTTTGGCTGACACTCTCGTTCGATTGGTGAGGGTAGCGGACTGACGCTTGCGCACCACTCGTGTCCTGCTCGAGTCCCGCGCTGGCCAACGGTAGGTCACGTAAAAAAATAATCCAACTCTAGGGCCTCGCTATGCAGGAGCATAGCCTCCAATATACTGACAAAGCCGGGCAGATCGCCACAAGAAGCGGCCGCCGAAGTGGGAAAGGTGGAGCGGCAGACAACGGAGGAAGGCAGAACCACGTGACTGGCGCCCCACTGCAGCGAGATGCCGAAACACACTTCTCCCGAGCGAAAACGTGCGTTTTGGGTCCTCGCAAAAGCTGTGCGCTGCCGTCCAGGTTCCCCGAGAAATGGTTCTTCGATGCTCTGCGCTACCAGATCCTCGCGCTCCAAATCTGCGACCGGGCACTCTATGGCTCCGTCGTCCAACTGCCAGGCTTTGCGAGTATAGAGGAGGCTAGGCGTTGAATGCACGTCGGGATAAAAGGATGGCGGAAAAGAGGCGGAATGTAAGACCCACAGTGTGTTGTGAAATTATTTGCCGTTGTTGTCATTCGCGCAGCGGCTGCTTGATTCTTTTTGTCTTCGTGGCTCAATGTGATTTTTTTTTTCTCAGTATTCTGGACCGAAAACGGCGTATCTAAGCCTTTGCTACGAAAATATTGTAAATATTTTGGACGTGCCTGAAATAAATAAACGCCATCGTGGTGTGGTCAATGTAGTCTAAATACTTATGGCAAAGTAAATGATTGGAAATCAGGTATTTGAATACTTCTTCCGAAGGCGTACGCAGGTAGAGTTCTCACTTACCGAAACCAAAATAGTTATAGAAGTTTCGCGCAGTATCATGGTCTATTACTGTACGGACCAGAACTGAGGGAGAGGAGTAGATGAGGGTGTGCCGAGCTCTCGTTGAAATGAAATGCGGGTAGACGCAGAACTAAGCTGCCTTTGCCTCTACTCGCCGTTTGATCACTAAAACCAGTCGCCAGCTAGACGCTGGCGTTCGACTTTCGAACGCGTTCAAACAGTGACTAGACACAAAGGCAGCTAGCTTTTTGTCTTCAGTGCCAGTTTTGTACAGGGTGTCTCCAAATAGCGGCCAGGCTCTTCAAATCGACCGCGAAATTCGGTTTCTTAACCTATCGCACTACAATTTTGTGCAGCGTCGCCCACAGGTGGTGCATTTTTTAAAATAAAATTTGCAAAGAGCGAATTTACCTGAGGAAAAAGTAAAGAAAGAAAAAGGCTTAACTCATATGGAAACGCACCGAAGTCACCACTCTTCAAACAATGTGGCGCCCTAATGTTTGAAGACCGGTGGAATCACTGCGTTTCTATGGCAGTTAAGCCTTTTTCTTCTTTTTTTTTTTTTTTAGGCTTTCCTCGGGTAAGTTTGTTCTTTCCAAACAAAATCGTAGCGTGATAGGTTAAGAAACCGATTTTTAGGTTCGATATAAAGAGCATGGCCGCTATTTGACACACCCTGTGCATTCGAGGACGCTTCGGCGTCTTGTGAGCTTCGAACGTGCGCGCGCAGCCAAAGGGCGGAAGCCAACGAGCCAACGTTACTACAGCCGGTACACTAACGCTTCGATGCCCCTTTGTACGCTGTGAATATATCGGGTTCCTAACGTGTCGCGCTAGGATCTGCTACGGAGGTGCCCGATGGTGGTGAAACCTTTCACTAAAATTGTGGAAAGATCGGCTCACCTGACTGAATCACCAAACAAAAAAAAAATTGTATGTTTTCCCTTTACCTTGCATGTACACTTAAATAATATATTGTGCCGCCGTGGCGATTATTAGGGCCAAATAAAGTGAAGAATGTGTGAGCCAATTGTATTTTGTTTCATTTCCTGATTTTTGAGTTGTGATATGTGCCAGAATAACCTAGAATGATTTTTTGAGGATTTTTTTTACAGAAAAGGCTTAGCGATAAGTTTTTTCTGATAAAACAAGTTTTTATTTTTTCTCTTTTGGCTCCGGACGTTTCATGTATTCATACCTGTGTTGTAGGCGCTACCGAAAAAAAAAGGGAAAAGAGAAGAAATACCTTACTTTTTACTTCCAAATAAAAGGAATGCGTTACCGACCAACGTTACCTCAAAATAAAAAGAATCCGTTACCGTTAGCGATAAAAAGCAACGCACGTTACTTTTGCGTTACTTTTTCAATTATGAATGAACACGTTTTACTCGTTTGACGTTACAGGTATGCATAAGTGCCATAATTTCAGAAATATTATGTCCATCCAGAAACTGAACATAATTACCTTATCTTTTGTACGGTTCACCTACATACTCACTAGACAAATCGCAAAAAAGGCACGAAAAAACTTTAAAAATTGTATAGCTTGATGCTTAGAAACGCGAAAAAAAAAATTGAAGTGTAATTTCTTTAAGCAACGTTATAACGCTACTGGAAAAAGTCACGTATTACCGGTAATGCCGTCACTTGTAGCTTGTTAAGGCCAACTCTCAATTAATGACTGAACCACATTTGGGCACCTCTGTAATGAATTCCTGCGCAATACGTTGAGAAATAGATATTTGCGAACCGTCCAAAGTGGGATCGACGCGTTAGTGGAGATGCAGTGTAGAGTACCTCAGTTGTGAAACTCCCGCGGAAGGTGGTATCCCCCCTCACTTGATCCGTTCAGTCCAACTCCCGTTGTTTGAAGCGCCATCTAGATTTTAATTTCAAAACTTTGTGTTCCATAGACCCTTTCCGGAATTCAGTCTGGCCACTTTGATCACTATCATCATCATCTCAAAAGGGCATATGTGCTATACTAATGGCGGCCTTCTGATTACAAATGAAGGAAGAAGTTGAAGATGCTCCTAAGCAGATGATTTGATGCCTTTACATTCTCGACGTTAGCGCGACGTGAAGCAGGAATTGGACGCAAGAGCTGCGTAAGCGTTCAATCCTAACTCGGTCCCAGTCAATCTGTTAGTAGCACTCACTCGGCTTCAAAGCACCTTGATGTATAGGACTCTATCAAGGCGCCTATATGGGTTGGCGCTTCGTTCCGACTGGCTGGATTATTTTTGCCATCGACACTAAAAGAGATTGAAAAATAATTGTATTGGAGTGCACATTTTCGTTTACCGTTGACCTTTAAGTGACGGTGCCCCATTAAATACTGCAGACCACAGGTTCATTGCCGCCATTAGTATAGTAAAAGATAAACCGCCATTTGAGACACCAGATGTCACTGAATTCCGGAAAGGGTCTATTGAGTCCGGTGAAGCGCCATCTAGATGCTGTCCTCCGAAACATGCATATTTCAAAGAATACATTACAGATACCATAGCAACCGTCCCCCAAGAACGGTGGCGCGTGAAACGACGCGAGGCGGGCCGTGGGGGAAGAGAGGGGTACAGCTCGTGGAAGTAGTGTCTAGGGGCAGTTCTGTAACTGACTTAGTCTAATAACGATGCAACAAGCGCACGTTGGAGGTCGGCTATTGGAATGAGGCACCCTGCCGCTTTTATCATGTCAGTGCCCACTGTCCCATTCAGTTCAGACGTCATTTCCTGTTTGCATAAACAAATACCACCAAAACTGGTGTGATACTAATTGCTTCGACGTTAAATTAGTTTTGTGGGAAAGAACCTTTTGTTTCTCATTAAACAAATAGTGATAACGAAAGAAAAATGCTCTAGGAGGCGTGTGCAGCTAAACGTATTGGAACATTGCGTGTTTTTCATTTTTTTTATT